TTAATAATGATAAAATGTTACCTAAAAAGATAAAACAATTATTTTTGTAATAAAATATATAATTTTATTTGTCTATGTACTCATTAAAGCTATTTTAATTAATAATAATTTTAATTAATCATATTTAATAAGATAATACAACATTTTATTTAAATAATTTAATACTAACCATTATTTTATTAATTTTCAATATTCATAACAAAATTATTGTATATCTTATATTCTCGAAATAATTATAAATTAAGTTACGCATTTACTTATCAACACTTTTGTATAATAATGTATCTGGTAATTTTTTCGCTTGGGTCATACTAAAATCTATTTAATAAAGATATATATAATTTTCATATAGTATTTGTTTTTAAATGAATTTATAAAATAAAAAATACTACTGGCATATTTTAAGTAATTATATCAATAATTTAATTATTTTATAAAAAAATACTAATAAATAAATTAATTAATTAATCAATCAATAATTTAAGGAATTTAATGCACACAAATATTATTAATTATTTGCATCATAATTATAAAAATTTTTGTAATAAAAATAAAATAAAATATTATTTATGACTACACATATATAGAAATAAATAAATAACAAATTTTAATTAATATTTATTTAATATTGGTTAAAGATTAACTACTTACGTTACAAGATTACTACTTATATTTTATAAACCTCCCTTTTAGTTGTGCTAATATATTATAATTCATAATTAAAAAATTTTCATAATAAATATATGAGATATTTTTATGGAGAAAGAAATTAAAATAATTTCAAAAAATAATAATTACAAAAAAATAAAAGGAAAAAAGAAAATTTTTAAATGATGTTGAATATTGCAATATATTAAAATTTTGTATTGTTCAACTTATATATTATATTATATTAAAATTATATTTGAAGTTTTATTTGATTTATCAAACTTAATTAAATATATTTTTTACGTAATTTCGAAAACTTCTAATTTATTCGGTTTTGTAATTTTGAATTGCATATAAATATAATAGTTTATGCAAATGTTCTTATATTAATATATTTAATGGAGAATCATGTCAATCATTGGTACTCTTAATTTTATAGTTACAATTTTTAGTTTTTCCAAAATATTTTTGACAGATAACTCTGAATTATCATATTTTATTGTATTATTTTGCAAACAATGTTGTTCATATGTATAATCACGGTTATATTAATTAATATTTAAAATTATCAAAGAAATACAAAATTATCCTCTTGATAGTATCATAATAAGTTTTAAATATTTTTAATACACTTTAATATACTATGAAGGATTTAAATTATCATTATATTTATGTAAGACTATATCAGTAGTCAAGTTTGATACGTTAATTATAAACACTAATACACTTTTATAGATATTTATAAAAAATTTTACTCTTCCTAGACTTTCAATATTAGCCATCTTTGCTTAAACACTTAACACACATGAATAGTAATTCATTAAAAACTCATGATATATGTACAGCTTTCGGTGTAACATGTTTATACAAATTATTCATGCTCCAGTATATTACAGCTACTTATACTCAAACTTAATACTATTATTTTAAGTAATCGATTTATCTTTATTTAATTTATATTAAGAATAATCTTTGCAGCATCAGATTGTTTCATTACAACCAGCGACTTTAAATAGAATAATTACGCTTACATATGTTGTAGAAGTTTCAATTAATTTATGTTCATATTCATTTTTCGTAAAAATACAAGTAAATCGAATAGAAGAAGCTGTACAATACTATGAAAAATATTGAAACACAAATTTTTTTTGGAAAAAAAAATATTTATTTTATGATTGGATTGAAACCTTAAAATGTACTATAGTTTTGAGACATTTATTTTTATTATCAACATTTATAAAAAGATCTTTACTATAAGAGACTATCTGAAATAACGTCTAATAGATAGTTATTTGAATTTTTTCTTGGCTTCTTTGATTTTATAATTAAATAAAAATTAAATAATGGATATTATAGCTTAATTTTTCCTAAAGTATATATTGCGAAATAAAATAACTTCATTTTTAATTTCACATGATTCATTTTTTTTAAAATTCTTTTTTTTTAATTCTTTTTATTTATAACTTTTTAAAGACAAAACTAAGTTTGTTACTTTTAAATAATAAAACAATTAAGAATTTTCTGATAAATTATAATCAAGTAAATAAAATTTATGAATTTCTATGAAAGGATGAGAAATTATATAAATAATTTCAATTTTCATTTGAAAATCTGTAAATTATTATAGAATTTCTTTACGTTAATCTTTACTTCTAATTTATTGAATGCTACACAATTATAACAAGTTATACTTCATTAAATAATTAATCATATATACAATTAAACTTGTAATTTATATATTATATGTATTTTTAATTAAACATATTTTTATTAAAAAATGAAAGACAACTTTATTTATTTAAATTTGGGTTTTTAAATAATTTAACTAATAACTCGCTTTAAACATTCAATTTTTGGTATATATAATCTAAATGTAATCTAAATAAAATAGTAGTCAGAATTTGTTGATCAATAAACTTTGAATAAATAGGCTTATCCACTATATCAAGAATTATATATTATATTATGAGCCCATAGTAATTTAAACATTAGAAGAAAATATTTATTATTATATAATACTACTGATTTATTTTATACATAGACTGTAAATTTCAATTTTATTTTTAAATAGCACGGGTCTTAATGGCTTCGAAAATTTAAACTTTGTCTTTAAATTTAAAGAAAAATTTTTTCAATTTAATACGTTCATTTACAAATTTGTTTGTTCCAATTAAATATATGAATTTATTATGTATAATTATCCATATAAATTGATATTTAAAAATTTAATCAAATTTATAATTTTATACGGTTATATAATCTATAATTATTATCTATAATTTTTATTTTTGAATTGTAAAAATCGATATATACATTGACTAAAAGTGTATTGTAGATGTTAGAATATGGTAAGTTACTTAAATATAGAAGCACTGTTTTTGGATTACGAATTAATTGGCCATTATTAAATACATATACATTTTATGCAAATTATTATTAATAAATTTACATAAAAGATAATGAAAATTGTAATGAAAATTATTAATAAATTTGACTGGTATTATTACAAAAAATTTTATTTTCATTGTTCTATTCATTATCGGGAGTCTTCTATTTAAACTACGTATAAATCGATGTTTGTTTGATTGACAAGTGATTCGTAATTATTAATTTATATTAATAAAATAACGATTCTGAATTAATAATAAATATATCAATAACTTTGTTGTTAATCATTATCTATAAAATAATATATTTAAAATAAGTAATTACTTTATGTTATCTATATTAATATTTTGAATTATGTACAAAAAGTGTATATTCGTATATTTAAAATTTCATAAAAACTTTAAAAATTGATTTTAAGATAATTTATATTTATTACAAAATAATATTAAATTAAATACTAAAATAATAAAACTATATTTTTCAAAATTAATTTTTATAATGAATGATATTAAAACATGATAATCGATACAACTTACAATTTAATGATAAAGTTTTTTTTTCAATAAAGAACTGTTTCCTTCTTTCAACGTGTTAGATTCATGGATACTATTTCCTAGATAATAATCGTTTTACGTCTAAATACTAAAACGTCGATTTTCCTGTTCTCTATATAGCTACTCAAATATTTATTAAATAACTAATATTCACGTAGTGAAAGTTTCGATATCAAATTCTGAAATGGTGCCCATATCATTAACTTTTAAACGTAATTTCTAACATAAATATTGTAATAATTGTGAAAGGACAATACTAATTCACCTTATAAATATCAGCTTATTCTTTTACTTTTTAATCACTACTAAATTATTAAAATCACCTGGGGAACTTGATCATAACAAAAGTTCATACCCTGAATAGTCGTATAATACATAAAGAAAATAAAGTACGAAAGCAATTTTTATATTCGAATTTTTTAAATACCTTGTAAGCTTTCGACTAAAAAAAATGTAATATTTTCAAGTAAAATTAAGTTTTATATTAATTATAGTCATAGAAATTATTTTATTTTTTTTTAAACAACTGATATATTATACAACAATATAATGATGATGCTTTCAATAAATAAAACAATAAATATTTGTTTAATTATTACTGGATTACGGCCATGGAGATGTAGTTTTATCGGTCCAATAATAATGTTATCTTTTACAGTACTAACCTTACCTTTTCAATTATGGTATTTTGTAAGAATGGATAATATAGTAATCGCAATTGACAATTTAAGTACTATTCTTTTATGTTTACTCATACTCTTGAAATATAGTGTAATGTGGATCAACAAAAGGTTTTAATACTTTAAATATTAATTAAATGGAATTAACGAATACATCTTACGAATACATTAAATTCAATGACATTGATTCAAGAATACAGAATTATTTTTAATATACAATTTAAAATATTTTTATTGTAATAATAATTTTATATTTGAATTCACATAATAAAATCATTATTACTTTTTATTTATGAATTTATTTACTTTTTACTTATTACTTTTTAAATTATGGGCCCCTAGATTAATTTAAATTATTTAAATGTAATGTAAATTATATTTAAAAAAATTATATATTAAAATGTAGCTTAATAGCTGAATAAATAATATAAAATTGATTGTTTTTTCTTTGAAGTGACTTAAGTATTTAAAAAATATATATGCATACATAAATACTTACAGCATTATTATAGGCACACACACACATGTATGCGTATATAACATGTATATGTATATAACATAATATACATAATTTATGTTTGTATATATATTCACACATAAATATATATAAATGCATCTAAATAAATTTACTAATTTTTAAAACAGTTTATGTTACATGCATATTTTTCATTTATATTTTTAATTACTACATTTATATATTGACAATTTATGTTATTATTCTTTATACTAGAATTATTACAGAATTACTACAAGAAATAGTTGATGAATGGAACAAAATAGTAATACCAAACAAATGCAAAACCATTGCTTACTATTGTGACCTATTTTGTAAAATGGATCTTTATATGTACATTGTTTGTTCAATTTTCTATCATATACAAAGTTTATCGAGATATTTTTATTTAAACGTACACAACAGAGAAAGTTTCCTTACATCCTACTATCCATTTGACTACCAACAATCACCATATTTCGAAATTATTTACACAATGCATTTAATACAGTCAGTTGCTTTAATCGCTACTGATTCGCTAAGTAAAACTCTTCTAATAGTTTATGTAAGAAATTCTAATTTTTATATGTATCGTAATACGTTGCATTTGCATTGATTTTTATATTTGTATTAGATTTCACATGCTATTATACACGTGCGCCTGTTAAAATCCTATGTTAATGAATATTTCAAAAGTTACGTGTACTTAAATAATAAGAATAATAGCGGTAATTACCACAATTTAAAAATGGTTATAGTCGAACATGTGAAAATTTCAACATTAGTTAAAAAAATTGATAATTGCTACACTTACGTATCTCTGCTACAAATTGGAATCAATAATATTATTATCGCCATTTCAGCTTTCACTATTTTAACAGTATGTCAATTTTTATGCGTAATAAGTGTTTAATTACAAAACTGAAATTTTAATATTTTTATTTTCAGAATGAAGAATTAGTTAAAAAAATAATATTAATGAAATTAATTACTTTTACTATGATTATACTATCACAAACTGTAACATTTTGCCTTATCGGAGATTTTCTTGAATCTGAAGTATATTTAAAATATATTAATTTTTTTACATAATCGTATAAAATATACAATTAATATTAATACACTAATGTTTAGCTATCCATAAAATAATTTTTTTATTTTTAATTGTAATTCCATCTAATCAACATTCATTCATTTCTAAGAATATATACAAGAATTTTTTTATAATTATTTCTAATTTTATAATTTTTTAATTACAGCTATAATTTATAATTTTTAATTTTATAATTTTTTATTTTAGAAATATATTAAAAATTAATTATATTTAATGTTATATTATTATATATAATATAGTATTTTTTACGTATAACATTAGACTAACAAAGAATAAAAAATAATTGATATTTAAATGAGGATTGATTAAATTTAGAATAGAAAAATCTTTAAAATATTAATACAATTGATATTCGAACATAATAAAATATTGTAAATTTGTGAAGCATAGAAAGTTGATTATTTACACAAACTGAAATATTCTAATCCAAACATTTCCATTCATTTCATTACTATTTTATATATTATGTTAGTATTCTTATCACTAGTAACTCTATATCCATTAATGTTCGTTTAAGTAATAATTGTAGAATTTTTAGAAAATAGTACTGCTATTTAGATTTGTCGAAAGTGCAGAATACTGTTAGAAATGGATCTCAATTAAGTTGATAATCTATATTATTAAGGATATTATAGTTCAATATTACAATTATAGGATAATTTTTGAAGTTCATATTTGAAGTCAAAGTATAGATCGCGGCAAATCTGTAATTAATGAAATGCAATTCTAGTCTTTAGATCTTTACCTCATCTCAAAATGAAAATAGTAAAAGTAAAGCTCATTTCTTCAAAGGAGATATACCACTAAAATAAATCAGTTTTGGGCATCCAATTTATTCTTAATTTGAGTGCTCGTATAAAACTTCATCAGTAATTTAAACTTGTTAATTCCCATAACATAGTAATATTACAGAAATAGAAATTGAGTTATCCAATAAGACTATATTATCATGAATGTATTATATATAAACGTTTTTTGACCGAAAAAGAAACAATATTCATAAAACATTTGATGAATTGAAAAAAGGGTATTATATAAAATTCTGATTTTCTATTCGTAAGTTCAATATTATTAATTCGTAAGAAAAACTTTTAAGATAAAAATTAAAATTTGTATTTCTTCTTGTATTAAAAATGCATATACAATTAATTATTTTTTTATACTACAAATAGAATTATTAGACATTTCATTGTATAAAGTAATAACATTTTCATGCTTATGAATCTTCCATCCATGCTTTATCAATTATCTAATAATGTAATTAACAATATTTTAAAGATTATGAAACAGTACGTACTAAGCAATACAAAAGAAAGGCAATTTTTTAAATTTATTAAAATTACAATTAATGTATTTACATATGAGCACCCTGTCATACATACAAGCATAAAATTACATAATAGTAACAATTCTTATGTCATTTGATAACTTATAAATTAATTTGATATGATTTTTAATATTTTAATTATTTGGTTTAAATACACAATTATAATACAAATTAAATTTAAATATTAGCATTTTTTTTACTCGCAATAATTATGCTATTCATGCAATCTATAAATAACAATTTTAAATTAAACCTCTTTTGTGTTTTCTGAAATACGTTTTAAAAACATATTTAAATAATTTTTTAAAATTCTAAAATTGTAATAAATTGAAATATCAATTTTAATTACAATATTGAATTACTATATTGAATTACTATACTGAATTTACGTATTTTGAGTATAATAAAATTTATTCTTGCGAATATTTATTATCCTGAAATTTTTAAATATCCTAATTAATTAAATCAATTATTAAAAATTAAAAACTAAAAAAATTAATTCATTGTTTAAATTTTCTTATTGCGATATCAAGACTAGTAATGCAATTAAACATTTTAATAGACACATTTATTTGTTTCTATGATACAGCACTATAATAAAAATGTATTCTTAAAGAATAAAAATGAAATTTTTGAATTAGGACATCATAACAAAATTTATATATTTTACAATAAATTTCATGAGTCATTATATGCAATTATTTTTAATAATAAATATAATATTATTTTAATCTGTTTAAAATTGATTTAAATTCAGAAATAAAAATTATTTTCAATGTCTAAGCATTAATTGAATACAGTTCCAATATTAAAAGTATGATAATTGATGGTCATTTTATAAATTAATTGATTTCATTAGGGCAATTCAATAGCAAATGCTTTGTACAATGGTGTTTGGTATAATGTTAAACCTACCGAAATTAAAGTAATAGCATTTATAATAGAATATTCCCAAAATCCCTTATTATTGACTGGAGGAAAGTTCTTTAAGATATCTATAAGCAGTTGTCTTCGGGTAAGTGGTACAAGTATTTTTACATTTATTTTTATTAGTATAAAGAAAATTAAATCTATAGAAATATTGGTACGTAAATAATGCTGTGTTATACTAAGTGTTATATATACAAAATTTTATTTCAAATATATTTATATGATTATATGATATATTGCAGAGTTCGCGATGCAAGAATTAATTAATTTACATATTAATTTAATTGAAATAATGATATGTATATAAGTTTTCGAAATATTTATTAATTATATAAGTTGATTCATTTCATTAATATAATTTAGTTAATTTAATTTTAACTTTATAAAATTATATTTTCATTAAATATATAAACATTCTAATTTTATCACTAATAATTTAGACCATGTAGTTATAATGTAATGGGATCCTTTAAAGTACATTTTTAATTGTACATTTAATTATAATTACTTAATTATAGATACATTATAAAAATGGATAGTACAACTCATTGTATACAAAAATGAGAATTTTTAGTGAAAAAATATTCAGTTTAATTATATTCAACATCTTCCTTAATAATTCTAAAATACTTCTATTTTTTACAAAATATTTGTTTTAGAATAAAATATTCCATTATATAGTATTTTGAAATTATGTTTGTTTTTATAACTAAGTTGTATATGTAATAGTAATGTAAAATTTTAAAACTAAAGTTATAAAAGAATTTTATAAATAAAATTTGACATACGAATTTAATTATTTTATTTTGAGTTAGAATATTATTTTATGTACATGATTTCATACACGTATAGAACATTATATATTTACATATTATTATAATTTATATTAATGAAAGTGAGTTTTCAGTTTATGAAATTAATAATAAGCGAATAACAAGAAAAATAATAATTTTTTTACAGAACTTAAAAACGTCAATTTCATATTTATCTGTTCTTCGAGTAATCGTCTCTAAAATATGAAGGCTTGTATATTTTAAATAAATTTTCTAGGTTAAAATTTATATTATATATGAATTTCATTAAAATATGGCTGAAAGACAAAAAATATAACAATAAAAACATATGATATATAAGTAAGGAATACAATTGAACCGTAGTACCAGATTTTTCGTAGTATGTGAATATTGTTTCATTTGTAATAATAAAATTATTAACACATTCGAAATTGCATTTTATGAATAATTTAATTTTCTTTTATATTATGTTATACTAAAAATACGCAAATTAATTATTCAATTCTGTTTTTAATATTTTCAATTTTTTACTCCTAAAAATAACATTTTATAAGTTTTTAATAGATTTTTCCAGTTGTTTATCAGAAATTTACTACATTTGTCAATATGTTTACATTATATATGCTTTTTATACTTTTGATATTTTATAAACTGTATTTTAGATCATTTTATTGGTGACTTATTTCATTGTATTTAAATAAAAATTATGTAAATTTATGAGATAAAAAGATTTAAATTTAATATAAATAAAAATAGTATTAAAAATCACATTTCTTTTTACAATTATTAATATAATCTAATATATAATATTTTATATAATGTTGATATATTAATGTTAGGAAACTTTACTGTGAAGAAATATTATTTAAAAAAAATACGTTATCACTGAAATAAATATATATCTTTATTTATAGATTAAAAATAACAAAATATATATATAAACTGCCTTTTGTTTAAAAAATTTATAATTGTCATCATATACTTAAGATATGCTTACATATTATGACATATTCTTATACATTGTAACATTCTTAGATAGTTTTACAGATTCCTACAAATTTTTACATATTGTTATATATTTTTACGTATGCTTATACCTTTTTACATATTTTCTTATGTTTTAAAATATTTTTATATATTTTTGCATATTCTTTGATGTAAGCCTATTTGACCAATTTTTTATTATATTTTTATAATAAATGATATTATGAAATAATGTATGTATTTATAATTTATAATTTTATTAATAATTTCAGTTGATATACTGAAAGATTAATAATTACCTATGTATTCATTAAATTCTAAACCTTTATATTATAAATTGATGAATAATAAAGAAAATACTTAGTGAATTTCTGTAGCTTTTGTTGTTATCTACCAGTAAACCATGAACTCTTTAATAGACAATAATGTGTAAATAATCAATTTTTTCCAAAATTATAAGTAGCTTATTTTATTTAATTTTTTATATTTGAGTAATAAAATATTAAAATAATTGATTTCAGTAAAAGACTAAACTTTAATTGTTAAAAGTAAAAATAAAATAGAATCTGAGAGCTTTTAATAGGTTTTATAATCAATACCTTATAGTTCCTACGAATTATGCAATGTTATAATTATTGTCATGTCTTTTACCTTGACAGTGAGACCATTCTAATAAAGTTTTTTTTAATAACTATATGTGCATATATATAAATGAACAAATATATATACAAGTTCCATTCTGTAACTGAAATAGTAACTGAAATTACGTATGCATATGTCATTAAAACATTTTTTATCGAAAACAATACCTTTCTTTAGAAATATTAGATTTACGAAATAGAAAATAAGCTAATTATAATTTTTAGAAACATCAAATTGGTACAGTTAGAAAAACTTTATTTTATTTTCTGCATTTCTTAATAAACCCCTATATAATTCAAGTTCTTCCATCGACTTCATAATTATAAATAGAAACAATTTTGATGTAGGGTGCAAATAAATAATATTTGATATTTTATTGAAAAATATTAAATATTTGTAGAATTTCCTGTCTTTTATATATTATTCATAATAAGTTCTGTTCTTTTATTTAGTAATGATTTTTACATATCTATCAGATATATTCACAATAAAAACTGAATTCATACATACACAATATTATCAAAATATAAAATTATATAAAGTATAAGTTATTATTGATAATCATTTATAAAACGAGTGATGATGTAGGACATAAAACATTTAAATGATCTAACCAAATTAATTTTCTGAAATTGAACTGAAAAAGTTTCACGATTTTGTTTTAATTTTGCCAGTTGTAACTCTAAAAATTTATTTACATTTTATTTATAAAATTTAATAGAATATTTAAACACATCTCATTTAACATTTTGTAGATAAAATATTTAAACGATGTTAATTAATAGCTGTGCATCTATATTAAACAAAACAAACGATATTATAATTTTATACTTGTTAGAATTTAATTTATCTATAGTCACATTTTACAAAATATTTTTTGGTACAGAAGAGTATATATTTTTGTTTTATAAAATTCATAAATAAATTAATTTAATAAATGTGAAATATATTTTATGAATTTTGTTACATTTTAAAAAGTATGTTAATTAAACAATGAAAAATACTTGTATTTGTGTGCTCCAAATTTCATACACTCTTTTTTATTAATTCTGATTACACTTGTACATTTTTATTGCAAACATAATTCAGATATTTGTCAGTTTAATCATATAAAATACCATTTTTTGAAAAAGCAATGAGTTTATAAAAATCAGTTTCATTATTATATTTATATTTTAAGTAAATAATTCAGATACTATTATTGTTTTTATTAAATTCTGTTACATAGCATTTAATTTCAATACTATCCCTACTATTACATGTCTTAAAATTATTTGTTTCTGTCTTTAAGTTGTAATCAAATATTTCTATTAATGATTCAGGTTGATCAAACCACAGGGTATGTTTCTTTTTTATTGGTATCCTCTTTATGGTTTTACATACATAGCATATAGTTTTAATAATTTTCTGTTTTTTTGCCATTAAACGCACTTTAGCCGTCTTTCCAGGTATTAACGGACTTTCACATACTTTGCATATAGAACGTTTGACATTGTGTTCTCTAGAAAAAATTTCTTATTATAATTTTACCTATATAAGACATCTGTTTTAAAATTTTCCTATTTTCATTAAAAAATCTTAATCTTTTAAAAATTTTATTATAATACATAGTGTAATATATATTTTTAAAGAAAATACTTTATATAAAATAAATAAATATCATTTAAAAATATTATTTTTTAAAATTATTATCTGTTTTATAATGTCTAGCTTTTAAAATTTTATTCAGTATTAAAATTACATTGTAAAAAATAATTCATAATTTATAGTAAATATAAATGTTTAGGTTATATTAACTACGTACATGAAATAAAACAAATTAAGAATGAACTAATTGTTTATAATATTTAACATAGACTGTCAATATTTTAAATAAATTTTATAGACTCTTACATTCTAAGTACAGCTTTTTTGGCACATCCTGATAAAATAGAACTGTAATATGATGCCAAAGAGATATTTTGTGACGATACAAATAAACTTGCCTGAAACAAATATATATTCGATTTGCAACATATATTCTATTGAAATTCTATTTATTACGTTGATCAATAAACAATAACATACTTGGTATAAATAATTCATTCTCTCAAATACGTCCTTACCTTGGCAAAGTTTTTCATTAATAGCTGAGAAAAAATTGAATTTAAAAATTAATGTTTATAATTTATCAAATTTTATGGTGATAATCTTAAGACAATTAAATATTTGATTAAAAACATAAAAAAAATTAATTACCCGAAGGCTTTTTCATTGTATATTGAATTTTGAATATTTAATGTTAGAAATAATAAAATACATTAATTATTAAAATTGAAAACTTTTATTACAATTTTCTCTAACAATTCATTAAACCTGAAAACCAATTCCCATGTAATCATAATTTTCTAAGAATAATAAAGTGACACATTTATGTATATTATTAATATACAACCACGCAATACTGTTGCTACAAAGTGTATAACTTACAAATCTAATCTTAGTAAAAAATAGCTTATGTAGGTGGCAGTTAATACTCTTGTTACAGGATAACACAGTAAACTCGAGATATATTTAATAAATTAAAACATTATTTTCATAAACATTGTATTTCATATAGATAAGGAAATTAATTATTATATTTATAAATATTTACTAATTACTTCAAACTAAATGTACATAATAGTTGTTCAATTATTATACCAATTCAAATAATACGAATAGTAAATATAAAGAAAAAATATATAAATAAAATAAAATATTCAAATAGTTTAAGTATAAAGTATTTAAAGAATCTGAATGAAAACATTTAATAAACATGTAAAATTTACAATGATAAAATAATTTACCATTGAAACATAAATCTATTAATGTTACTATTAATGAAACTATAAATGGTTTTTATTAATATTACGTAAAAAAAATTTTTTTTAATTATCAATGTTATTAGCTTATTCTTTATTTTTATGCATGCACAATTTGCTGATTTTTGACAAATAATAATTTAAATTAAATAAGCAATTAAAGTATAATAAGTGACCCAAAACTATTTAAATAGATATTTTGATTATAGAAAGCAGTATTAAACAAATGATTTTTCAACAATAAAAATGTATAATATTAAATTAAGATTTATTTCATATACTAGAAAAAGCATTAATAAGAAAATATTCAAAAGAAATATTTAAAAAGTCTTTAATGTTTGAAAAAAATATATTTTAATAAATATTATAAATAACAGATTAGATTAAAAACTATTCAAAGGGTATTGAGTTTCTATGCAAATTTATTTTAGAAAAACTTTTAATATATAAATATTGGATTACAAAATCAACTACTTTTATGCGTAATAAAATTATAATTTTTATTTATTTAAAAAAGTAATTTTTTTTAATATATTTAATTATTCAAAACTAGTATTAAGATTATCATATTGAATTCTATTTAACAATGATTATTGCCAAACATTATTCAAAACATATATTATATATTAGTAGATTATTTCAAAATATTACATATTTTGAATATTATGTAAAATTTCAAACAAATTTTTTGTATAAATTGAAATAATTTTATTTAATATAAATATTGAAAAACAATATTTTTGAAAAAAATTAATTTCCATAAAAATATTACAAATAAATAACTTAAATATTTAAATCATAACAATAGCGATAAGAAAGAAAATAAACAGTTAAAATTATGTAAAGATATGTATATTCTTTAAACATCTAGAAACATTTAGCTTCATTATGCTAAATGTATTTACACATTGCACTACTCTTTGACTACACTCCATTGTTTTAAACTTTGTCCAGGAATATATAGGGATTATATAAGTGCATGAAAGTACAGAGGGACAAAAATCAATGATTGTATCAGAGGACAAAATGAATTAACAGTGGCACTAGTTTCATATTTGTATTCATATTTGTAATTTTGTTGTTATCTAAAGATCTAAGTAAAAATCTAAAAATTAGCATTCACAGATAAAGTTTTTACTAGTGTATATGTAAAGTTGAGTGCATTTTATGCAAATAGAAGAATCTTAAATGTATCAGTCTAATAAATTTGCATTAAGAGACTTCTGCAAGCTTATTTACTATTCTACCTGTAGTAGTAATTAACTTTTGCAATAGAAACATTTTTTTTGTTTTATTTAAGAAATATTTGTTCTATAGAAACATTTTCATTATTTAGCTATATTTAAAATATTTAATGTAACCATTAATTTTAGCAAGTTCAAACTGTTTTTATTGATGAATAGTAAAAATAATGCATTGTTATTAAAATACAAATATTTAAATTAAAATATAAAACTTGCAAGGGCATTGGTAATACAGAACTCCAGAATCAACTTAAATACAAATTATTTCTTGTTTGAAATGCATCAAATAAAATATGAGTTTACACATGATGCATTTGAACACGTGCATACTTCTGAGTGGCATTTTATTTGTTAACCAATTACATGTATAATTATACACTTTTTTCAAAATTTTCCCCTCTTTAGTATTAAAAGTCCAAGTGTTCATTATTAATATTTGTATCCAATGTTCTATAGGATACACACAAATCACATTCTTTATTTTATTTTTTCTTCATTTTTATATTTTATACTATCGTTTACTCAGTTGCTTCTTGTAACATGTGCAATATGTAAACTGTTGAGTGCAAAAGTTGCTTTTATTTATTTTTTTGTAATTCTTTTCTTTATAATTTACATATTTTCTATTGTAATAAAGGTGTGAAAGCACAAAGTAAAATGCACATCATATATCCATCGGATACAATCTTTTCAACATGAAGATATCATATTCCAAAGTTTTAATAAGTCCTTAGTACTCACAAAGATTTAGTAATGTTATTAAATAATCTTTTACCCCACCAAGATTCTAGATCGAATGGCTTGAAATCTAAAAAATAATAAAAATATTAAAGTTAAAAGAAAGTAATTCATTAAAAAAAAGAGTAATAAATTCAAAATAAAGTGATAAAATTTGTTATTAATGTCTATTAAGGTAATTTATTAATTATTAATTTGGGTATATTAATATAACAATAATTCACTAACATAAAATTTCTAATTTATTGATTAAATAATATATCATTTTTCATAATATAAACTTGTATTTCTATTTATGAATAAGCTTAAAAATATAAAAGGAATAAAAGAAAAATTAATTATATATATCGTATAGAGTTTACTTTACATTAAAATTAATTTATAAAATATATACACTAATACATTTAAGATACATAGATTATGTCATATTTAAATTTTATTGAATTTTGAAAACTAAATTATTCAATATATTCAGTTCATACCTTGTAAAACATTATTTGGCTCTCCATCATTGTAGTAAACTATAGTTTCTAAAAATTGATAAGAACTGCAATAAGTATATTGATTTAAAATTTTAAATATTAGAAATTTATAAAATATTTTGAAACATTATCTACAAATATACATTTTATTTAGTTACAATTTATAATAATTATATTTTTATTAAATTTTTAAAAACATTTGATGATTCATTTTATATAATTTCATATTTTCCAAACAAACCTTTTACTCTTTAATTTAAAATAAACTTTAATTTAAAATAAACGATTAAATTAAAAAAAATTTTATAATTACAACATTTATTTCAACCAAATGACAAGCATATAAGCTTGCGTACAATTGGTTTATTTAGTCATGCAAAGAAGAAAATGAATTTTAACTAAAATAATAGGAAAACACCATACACGAAAATAATAAAATTATGTTTTATAGATATATTATCATATCAATCAAATTCTAATTTTAAAATGATTAATTTATTATTGTTATTCATTGAATTATAATATAAAAAGAAGTACAATAACATATAAATAGTAAATAGGAATACCGTTAGAAGAAGACTCATAAGGATCTGAATCATCCGAGGATAAACATCTCTGTCTGGCATTTATTTGATTCCATGCTGTAAATATAAAATAGGTTCTAAATATTTGAAAAATTTTAAATAAAAATTTTACTTACATTCATAAACAAACTTAATTAATTCTTCATGTTGTGGTGTAATAACTTCTTGTCTTGTGCGATGCCTTTGTAAACTTGGTTTCAACTTACTGCTTGTATAAAAAACTGGTTTGGGAATATTCCTTTTGAAAGGTAGAAAAATTGAAATGAACAATTACTTTTTTAGTAACTTAGAAATAATATTAATTTTTTAATATACATTTCATTGTAATATTTTAATGAAATAATAACATACATAATAACATAATATAATATAATAATAACAACATAATAACATATACAGACCGAATAATTTTATCTTCTTCAGAACCATCTTCTTCGGGATCACTTTTTCGGGATAAGTCCCGAAAATTGTCTAATCTTTCTAATTTTTGATTAATTCCTGAAAATTTAAGAATATTCAATTAACTCATTTGTTCATATTGAATTACATATATTTATAAACATTCAATGCATTTTCGACTTCAATGCATAAATTTCATAATATATAAAACATGAAATATGAAACAGTTAAGAAATCTAATAAAATCATACAATTTATAAAAAATACAATTCTTGAATTTATAATTTAAAAAGTCTACAAGAAAAGTAAATAAATGAAAAGTAAATTATTTATACAAATTTTTAATAGAGAGATAATATCATAATTATATTTTAAAATAATGATATAACATTTGTGGTCTTTATTAATTATATTTCTATATCATAATCACTGCTTAATAATATTGTCTTACCCCGACGTGTCTTGGCAACAATTTTGCTGGGCCCCTTTGACACTGTATACATGTTTTTATTTCTGTATCCCTGTCGATCCTATTGTTAACTGATACAACACACCTGTTGTTAGAGTACTCAATTATAATAAGAGCTATTATTTGTTCACTTTACTTTACTACTCCCTAAAAGACAGTTTTATTATATCCACGAATGATAACACATATGTATATTGTGTATGGTCAAAACTTTTTCTCTAATTATCAAGATATACTTCGCCAGAATCTATTGATAAGGTTTCTTGTAGTCCGTATTTTAATTTAAGTCTTCTATGCAAGTAAAGGCTGAATACAATAAGCCAGTAAATAAATATAAAAACTAAGATTTTTTAAAAGTGATAAAGATAGAGATAATGATTGTAATTGTTATGGTAATAGGAATGGTAATAGTAATAATAATAGTGATAGTGATAATGATAATGATAGTGGGTGATTGAGATAGTAATAGTGACTGTAAAAGTGAAATCGAGTGTGAAAGTAAAAGTAAGATCTGGTAACAAAATAAGTGAATATGAGAGTGCGGAGTGTGTTTGACAAATAAAAAGCAAAAATAAGACAGCGGTACCTTGAAAAAAAACGATACGACAGAATAAAAAGAAAGGAAGTTTAAGTAAATACTATTGTATGTAAAAATTTGTGCGCCACATGGGTACATATGCGTTTAACAGCAACAGCAAACAGAATAAAGATTACGTGAGCAGGCTGCGAAGAAAACGCGTGCGCACATGCAATGTATAAGAACACACGTGACTATAGCAGAAGAAAGCAATTGAATTCCATTTTTATTTTTCACTTAAAAAACGGATATATATTAAACTACAAAACAATGTTATAGTTTCAAAATCGTACATTATTTATTTAAAAATTTTCGTATATATTTAAATTTGAAATAGGTTGCAGATGTAATTATATATCACTTATCCAAAAATATTTAAGTATAAAACAATTTTGTTTCATTAATGTTAAATACATGGATCAATCTTTTTTTAATTTAAAGTCAAAATTTAATCAAATTCCATTTGAAATGTATATTTAAGAATTTATAAGTTTATATAATTTAAAATAAGTTTTGCTCCAGATTTCTATATTTAAAGAAATTTTACTACAAAGTAAATATTTTTAAGATAAGATTCATTACATCATTGATAGTATTTTGGTTAAAATGATGTGACGTTTTATAAATTTTGAAGTATCACCAAAGACTTATATTGAAAATCAATAATTGTAATACCGAATAAATTATGAAATACTTTTTTAATAAAATAATTAATTAAAATTTATAAAAAATTATCCTTTATTTAAAAATTTCAATATCAAAACTAATGGTAAATATGTCTTCTGCTTTACCGCACGAACCATATTGCTGTTTCGATATTATAAAAATACCTTAATTCTAAATACGTTATTTGCCTTTTAACAGTGCTATTAACACCAAATATTATATATGCATTTAGTTCTGAATTAATTTAGTATATTGGAAGACATTTCAGATATATATATATATATATATATATATAGATATATTATATTCCAAATACATTTATATAGATCTGTTTTAAAAATTAAGGCAAATAATGTATGAATGTTTTGCATAAAGTAATATTATTTTCTCCTAAAGAATGTTTCTAACTTACTCAGCAATTGTAAATGTCCACATATTCTAAAGTAAGTTATATCACTATATACGAGATAACCTTAAATTTTATTATATTTAATATGTATGCTGCATTTTCATATAAATTTTTACAAATAAATTAACATTGTTAAGTTAGTTACATATAAAAGCATTATCTTTTACTAAAAATATTTTCTTATGAATTAATGAGACTATGCGTAGTTGTTAAAATATTTATTTAATTTGTAAAACAATTAAATTGTTCAATACACATATTTATCCAATATTAATAGCTTTATTATCTTAATAACATTATTAAAATCAAGTAATATAGCCATCTATATATTTGTAACAATCAAGTAATGGTTGATTAAAATTTTCAGATTATCTTAAACTAGTAATGCCTAAAACATTCTAGTGAGATGCATATGAATGTACAATATTATTATAATTCAATCATAAAAAAAATTAATTTTGATATCCAAACTAAAACTTTATTATCTTATCAACAATTTAATCATGACTACAGTGGAAACACCTTTTATTCGTACTATAGAATGGGATATGATGGACAAAACAAAATTTTACCCTTTAAGTATGCTTTCTTCTTTCTCAGTACGATGCTGCCTTTATCCCCTTACACTTATCAAAACGCGTCTTCAAATACAGCGAAGAAGTCATATGTATACAGGTAGAATATGAACAAATTTACATGACCTAACTATAATTAATTTCAATTAACTCTTTTAGGTATGATAGATGCTTATCGAAAAATTTACAAACTGGAGGGCATTTCTGGTCTGTACCGAGGCTTTTGGATCAGTTCAATTCAGATAGTTTCAGGAGTATTTTATGTCTCAACTTATGAAGGTGTAAGACACATTTTAAATCAAGATATTATGACAGCACAACTTGATTCTAGAATAAAAGCTCTCATTGGAGGAGGAGCAGCCAGTGTTATTAGCCAAACTATTGTAGTTCCATTTGATATATTAAGTCAACATTTAATGGTACTTGGAGCTAGTTTTAAGCATGGAAAATTGGCTTTTGATAAGGTAATTTATTAAATATTTATAAGAATTCATTTATTGTTTATATTATACAATAACATTTATTTTCTTTATATAGACTGGTATGAATCCATTAGGACTAACACTAGAAGTTGGTAGGTCTCGAGCACAACTTTCTACAGAAATTATACGACTTATATACCAACAAGACGGACTTAAAGGTTTTTACCGTGGATATGTTGCGTCTCTTTGTGCTTATGTTCCAAACAGTGCATTATGGTGGGGACTATATACCACTTATCAAGGTCTACAGATTATTTTATTTAAATAAAAATGAAAATTTATAAAATATAATATACTAATAGTATTGGAAATTATTTACTCTTCTAGTTATTTAGTTCTTTTCTTCACTTTAATTTATTAAATTAGATATACAAATAATATTCAAAAAATATATTAAAATAAGATCATAAATTCATAAAGATATAAATAACATTAAAATACTTTTAATATTCAATAATTTTTGATAGATTAATTCTAATTTAATGTTATAATTTTATCGATCTAATTACTAACTGATTCATGATAAAAAATTCATTGAACATAAAATAGATACAATTTCAATACCTCATTTACTTTATTTAATTAAAATTAGTTCTATTTAATAAAAATATAACTGAAGAAAATAAACAATGTAAATATTAATTAAATAAATTAAATGAAATACTATATTTGATTCTTTATAGATGAATTGATAAAGACACTTCCTAACTGGGTATCCCATTTACTAATTCAATCGATTGCTGCAACCATGGGTGGTTTTACAACAACAATAATAACAAATCCATTGGATGTGGTTCGGGCTAGATTACAAGTGCAAAGATTGGACAGTATGTGTAATGCATTCAGACTGCTATGGCTTGAAGAAGGGCTACTCATGTTTACCAAGGGTTTGTCAGCTCGATTAGTGCAGTCAGCGTGTTTCAGTTTTTCAATTATTTTAGGGTATGAAACTATAAAAAGAGTTAGTATTCATGAGGAATATAAGAGTTACATAAGATGGTGAATTAATACAATGAGCAATGAATACACATATACACTATATATATATATATATATATATATATATATATATATGGTGTATATATTTATTTGCGTATTACCTTATTTTAATACGAGAGTATCATTCCATTTAGATTTTTAACTGACCAAGTGGTAAGAAAATTACTTAATTTAAGTAATTAATTTCTTGAACTATAATAGGATTCAATCTATTCATATAATTGAACTGTGGTTACATGCAGTCTAAATAAAAGCGTTTTTAAAATAATTGTTTTTATTATAAATGAATATTTACTATTTTTTATTTAAAACCACATTTTTTCAGTACATACTTACTTCTTCTGTAAAGCGTGCTTCATGTAATAAATAAACTATTCTTAGGAGTTAACAAATATATAGATCTAAAAATATAGTATACACATGTATATAATGTTGCAAACAACTAATTATTTAAAAGATTTGAAATTGCAGATGATTTTAGTTAAAGAAATCATAAATAATCAATATGTGTAAATATTTTCATTCTAATAGAAAAAATATAATTATTCATTATTACTCTAATTTGAAAATTTTTATTTAAAGCATTTTGTTAAAAAATATGTAGTATGTAAAAGCCTTAAATTATTTTCTTGTATTACTATAGATAAATAGAAACAATTAAAATAAGTTGTAAAAATAATTAAATTTACTTAAAATAATCTAATTTAATAATCCATCAGCAGTTCAAAATTATTAGCTATTTCTAATAAATAATATTATAATAAATAATATTAATACTAATGTAATAGTAAATAAAAAGCATGCATTTACAAATTAATATAAGAATTATAATATACATTTTTTACATTAACCGAATTTATTGTATATAAATGTTTTTATAAAATACTGAATAGAATTTGCATTAGATTGAAGCATGTTGAAAATATATATTAAGCCAAAGTTTATAATAATGATTATAATTACTAATGAATTTTAAATTGTGGTACTAATGTGTGTAAACTATTAAAACTAATACATGTTATAACAAAAGTATTAAAAAAAAATAAAGATTTTTAAACATGAAATTTATGCGTGTATGTATGATCAGTATAATTTGTAGTAGTCAATTTTATACATTTGGCTGATGTAATAAATTTTGTACATTTATAAATTTTCAATCCTCATAGCTAGTCAAATAATATTCAAAAGTTTAATGATAAATTTGATTTTCTTTAACACGATTAAGTTTTGACTTTTTTAAATATTAATCAATTTATAAAATTATTTATATATTTATATATATTAATTAATACATTTATCTATGGAAAATAATAATAAACAATAAATGTTTCTTATTAAGAGTAATGTATTTATCTTATTCAAAAAATCATCATTATTAATTACTATAAAAAAAATCTGTATAAAAAGTGTATATTTTAAATATAATATAAATAAAACGTTACAAATTATAATTTTTGTATGAATAAATTTTAATCTTTAATTCTACATTTATTTTAAAATTGGTATATAGGTCAAAATAAGTGATAAATATACTTAATAATATAAGATTGTTCAATTTTCATAATATTTCATAAATATGGTATATACGAATTATTTGTATATTTATACCTATTTTTAACTATTAATCATATTAATTTTTCATAATAATTTACAACTAATTAACTCTACTTATATATAGTTAGTAGGATAAAAATAATTCAGATATTTATTGATGCAAATATTTGCTAATATTTTGAACCATTCCTTTTATTAAAAAGCAAATGAGTTTGATATATTTATTAAAAAATAAACAAATCTTTAAAAACTTGTATTAGGTCTAAGATAAATAGATAAATGAATACTCAAATTGTTTAATTTTATTTTTCATTCTATTGTTACATTAACATATTTCTTTATTATTCTATGAATAAAATTATCCATAATCATATATTTTAATTTAACATTTTATATAAGAACAAATATATAATAAAATTACAAAAAAATTAAAATTAGGAAAAGAATTATTATATATATGGTAAAATAAGTAAGTGAATCTGAAAAAATTCATCCCGTATCATTTGAAATGGTTAAATGAAAATTTTTGCTTTAAAAAAAAGAAAAAATTATTTCGTTATTATAGATTACAAATTTTCAACTTTTTATATTTATAATTATAAATTTAAATGTAACAAATATATGTGTTTTTCTATATTGAAAATACAACATAAAAATTTTATTTTGTTTTAAAAGAAATAATAAAATTAAGTTATCTATATTAGAACATTTTTTTTCGTACTTAAAATTAATCACATTAAAATTAAAGTTCAAGTAATAAGTACTTCATATTAGTTACAAACGTTATAATTTATTTATATTGACTTTTTTAGTCATTTATATTTATTTAACTTCCAAAATGACTGTTTTTCCAGTAAAAATATTGTATACTTTTTAAACAAATTATTAACATTAAGCAACCATAATTTTATACAAAATTATTTTTAGAAAATATTCCATAAAGAAATAAAATTTGTCTAAATTAAAAAAAGATTTGATATGAATGTTTACATTTTCCAATTATTCATATATAAGTTCTTTTACATTATTGCATAAGTTAGAAAATCTTAAGCTAGTAACAAAATCTATAATTATTAAAATAGTAAAAATATAATAATATAATAAAATTATATATAAAATTATAATATAATATTTTTATAAATAATCATTTTTATTATAACAAATATAATTAAAAGAGATAGTAATAAATAATGTGGAAAAGATAGATATGAAGCCTGTACAACTGATTGAACGAAATACTTTTCAAAAGAGGTAATGGCATATAATTTTACAGATTGATTTTTATAATGTAGGTACAATTAGTCATTAAAAAAATTCGTTTTTCAATAAATAATATTTACTTGAATTTCGATTATTTATTACAATATAGATATTTATTACAATTAGTGTGTAATTAATAAAATTATTGATTTATTTAATAGTCGTAATAATAATGATAATAATAATAATGAACAATAACGACAAATAATCGAAAATAGTAGATAAAATGATGAACTGGATATTGAAAATTTTAAGCAACTATAACTATACTAATATTATTCAAATGAATAATGCATATTCATTTTTTATATTATTCAATGTGTGTGTACGTGTGTATGTATATATATAATAATTAATTCAGAAAATGAATTTATGTATACAATACAATTTGATATTTATATATCAATTAGCGGTTTCGGTAAAGAAATTTATTCATAAAAATTTTATTATACCTCAGCATAAATTAAAACTATGAATATTGGTTAATATTTTATTACATACTTAATTCTCAGTTTTTTACAAATATAAATCGAAAATTATATAAAAAATTAAAAGAATTTGTTCAAGTATTTAAACTTTTGTATAAAATTAACTATATTGTATTAATTTAAAATTTTAAAACAATTAAAATATTTTTATTGTGTGATTATCATAAACTGGTACAAATTGCTTCATGTTATTTACAAAAATGCAAAACTAGAAATGAAATTTATAAAATCATTACATATGATTATATATAATTACTTATATAGTTTTTTTATAACAGATTAAAATATAGTCACCAATTTGTCAATATTCAACTTTTTTTATATGAAATTAACAAAATTCATGCAAAATTATGTATTTTCAATGAGAATCAATCTTGCCCCCTTGTCCAATAGAATGGTTATATTTATATTATACTTACAATAAATTAATAATTAAATTAACAATTGATTATAATAATAGTAATAATAACAATAACAATACAACAACAATTATGGTAAAAAAATAATAGTAGTAGTAGTAATAGTAGTTATTAAATGAATAATAATTATAGTTGAAAATATTATAGAAATGAATCGTAAAATTAAATAAAGTAATTTATATGAAAACAAATTTTCTTTTAACAAGTACTAATTTAATAAAAAATTCGTTATTATAATTCATATGTTATAAGATTATAACATCTTATTCGTATAATGAAATGAAGCTTATATTTTTTTATATTTACTATACATTTAATTACATGAAATTGTTTTAAATTAATGCAAGTTTTTATGATTTCTATAATTAATCATTCAAATAATTAGAAATGCTGATTAAAGCCATAAATTAATATAATTCCAATTATTTATGTATTCATTAGAATACAAGTATCTTTTACTTATTAATATATTTTCAAAATCATTTGAAAAAAATATTGAAGTTTTTTGACATACATAAATTACTGCAAATATTAAATAAATAAAGTAAAAATCACTTTTGAAAAGAGTATTATTATAAACATTTACTTAATTTACATTGATTAAATAAAGAAAATTTTACAAGGTTAAGACAATAGTTACTTAACTACGTGAATAAAATCCTGATATATGCAAATAATTAAGCTGTACTACTCAATGTTTAATACGTTTAACAAATTTAACATTGTATGAAATCATAACATTATATTTTCTTCATGTTCATTTTCCCATTTATTATTACTTTAGGTTCAGCTCCGATTGAAGCTAAATTATCCAATTGCACATGCCGCAATGCTGTAGTAATGATTTAATTTTTAAAATGTCATTATTTACGTATAGTTTAAAATTTTTTTTAAAACAAAGGAAAGACAATCTGAGACAGAAATAGTTCCGTAAAATAACTGCTTATAGTGCGAACAATGATTTATCTTCAGAGTCACTGCCGATTTGTCGCTGGATTGTTGAACCCGTAGCGGTGCTATTACTGGTGCTAGGAGCGACATCAATGGCTGCAGCAGCTGTACGCTCCGCTAGAAAACGCTCAAATTCGGATGATGTTACGGTCTTATCCATCTGAACACCAAAATAAAATTAGAAAACTATGATTACCCTTTTTACAACTAATTATACTATAAATGTTGCTTTTAAAATATACTATATATAATATTAATTAATTTATTTTATTTTGGCATGTATTTCATGATTTTTAATAATTGTAAAATTACTTAATGTATTTCATTGTTTTATAGTTTATTATTAACATAGTATACAATGAAAAACATCTATTTATGCGAATACAAATATAGTGCAATATTTCTTAATTTTTTTTATAATAAATAAGCATTATAACAGTTATTATCAAATATTTATATAAATGAATTTTATAAATTTATAATCTCACTGTAAACATAATAATAATAGATAATCTTTTAAACAGATGATATAATATCTAAACAATAGATATATTACATATATTATGTAATAGCTTAGGATGGAAACAATTTATTGGCTTTTTTTTTATTGCAAACCCATAGAATTATCAAATTATATAATTTTAAATATTTATACCTTTATAATAGAAAATTGGTTTAGACTTACCAAATTTTTTGTACGAGATGAACTAGGTTCTGTTTCATTATCACTTCTTTGCAACTCCTGTCTGTGATTTGAAAATGAATAGTTGTTACTTATTAAATAAACATTTTATATAATGCATAGTTTACATTAATATTTAAAAATAAAGTATAACCTATTTTTAATAGCATCGAAACTAGTGGTTCGTGATTGTGCGAAGACTTCGAACTCGTCACCTTCGCCTTCCTTTCGCCGCAATTTTATATCATTACTTTCACCTGCTAGATCTGGTATCAATAATTTGATTAAAAAATATAATATATAGTTCTGTATATATAATTTATAAAAAATAATGGTCTAGCAACATTTACACATATCGCATTTTCATATTTAAAATAATTTTTAAATTTAGGAACATAATAATAAGAAATAATAAATGTTTTAAAATAAGTTGGTTATTGTAACTAAGGCAAGTATATAGATGAAATGTAAAATCAGATATATTTTAGTCTCATATATTGTTTTTCATAATTAGCAACATACATTCATTTAAAATTTTATAAATTATAATTGGGAATGTAAGTTGTTCACAGATAAAAATAATTATATATTAAAATAAAAATTGAATTATATGAATATCTAACAATAAAAGACGATAAAAATACATTTTCACTTTTATTTTTGAATCTTTGTTATTGAAAACGCTAAATATCAATGGATATTTTAATATAAATTGAATAAGATATGAATATAAAATATAGATAGATACATACTTGGTAGAAATGATAGAGAGATATAAAAGAAGTACAAGTAAAAATCTGTATAAGAACATACCCAAATCATCAACACGCTTAATGAGAGAAACGATGGGCAGTGCTGTAGCACCAATTTCGTCATCCGACAGATCAATGAGAGCATCTCCACTATCGAGTTTCTTTCTGGAAGTGGTGGGACCTGTACCGATGGCCTCTGCAACCATCGCACTTGTTGGCACCTTTTGGTTCTTGGTAAAACGTACATAGCGCAGAAATAAATTATTCATTTCGTCATTGATCTGCAATAGTTCCGCTGTCAATTCGTCATGGGCAAGCTTCCCAATTAATTCTATAACACGCTCCTGCATAGCCTTACATGTATCATGAAGTTCCTGCAAGAGTGAAATGTTTGAAGTTTTTTTTTATAATACAAAACTTTCAATTTGATTAAAACTAAAAGTATGCATAATGCCTATATTTTAATAATACAAAAAATAACTTATTACAAAAATTTTTATTTTCTCTGAATCATAGAGAATGGCAGTCTTTAACATTAAATTCAGAATGTAACATCCAAAATTAATAATAATTATGCAACCTTGATGTGATACGCTTTTAAAATAAAAAAAAACGAATACCTTCTGTAATGTTTATAATCAACCTAACGAAATACTGTTTTAATATAAAATATTATATTATATTGCAACTAAATAGGAAAGATATGTGTTTGATTGCTGCGTTGCGTAAGTAAATAATTATTTTTATATTTTTAAATTATATCAGTTCCGAACATGTGGTATTCTCTTTTGAAAAATGGAAAAAACTTGTACTGGATAGAAAAGAGATCTTCGAGCTTACTCCAAGGAGCTCCATATCTTCAACGAGAACGTGCTCGGACGTTTTCTCCTGAAGCCCAACCGAGTGCGTAGCGAGCATCTCTGAAAGAACGCGCATGTTGCCGTGAACAACGTCGAGCTCACCACGCAATTTGAGCAGGTGCTGTTCGCTGAGTCGGACAGCCTGGGTACCACTCGGACAATGACAAGTTTGCATCGGCTGACCAATCACGACGTTATTTATCAACGAAGAGGTCGAGGTTGGCTCCGCCGCTGCCGCACCGCTGATGATTGACCCTTCAAGTTCCGGAACGCTCTGTTTTTTAGACAGAATCAACAACTTCATTAATTATCATACAGATAAGTGATTACCTTGATTTAGAGGAGAACTAAATTAAATCCATTAATTTTACTAATCTACTGTTTATTGTGTTTATTATTAAACGTTTATTATAAATATGTTCTATTCAAATATATTCATATAAAATTTAAAAAATATACTTTTAACATATTTTTTAAAAGCTTAAAATTTTACTGATTTGTATTGATTTTAATATCAATGATCTTTAATCAATAAGCAATTGCTTGGTTTTCTTAATTTAGAAAAACATATCAACATGCAACAATATTTATTTTTGGATCGTCTCAGTTAAGAAATAATAAAATGGCATATTTCTAAATAACTTTAATATTGAATTTTTAAGTTATTCTTAAAATATAAATTCTTAAGATATAAATCTTTCGCCATCAAATACTTTTTTAATCGATATATTAATACTATTAATAAAATAGTAATCGGTATGTAAAATAAATTCAAATAAACTTTTGTTAAATTAGTTATAATACAAAAACATAATACTCAATATATTATTTATAAAAATTATATATATATATATGCGCGCGCGCGTGTGTTATCATTGACAGAACGCAATGTCGGTATGAATACTATTTTTCAAAGTACATTTCTTAAATCATTCCTTTAAAATAGTAATAAAAATCAAAAGTGTTTCAAGCATAAGACTAAAATGTAATTATTACCTTTAGATTGTCAGGCCTTTGAAACTATTAATATTTATATAAAATGTACATGCTAATAAAAACTAATCAAATTTCCTTAATGCTTAATATATACTTAGATTAATTTAAATATTTTTTAATTATGCTTTAACATAAAACATTTTACAATTTAAATACTTTACCATTAATTTTAGGAACTAGTTGGTTAATATCAGATTCTTTACTGATAATAATATATTTTCTAAATATTCTAAATATAATTATATTATAAAAAATTACTAGTTTACTTATATATACTTATATATGCTTACATATACTTATATATATTTATATCTACTTAATAAAAATTATTTACTATAATTTTCTATATATGAATAATTTAATGTGTATAAATTTTATTAGTAATTTAATAGTAATTTAATGTATTTAAAAAGTTTATTTCAAATATACAATTTCCAAATATAAATTTTGTTTATTTCAAAGTATCCATAAAAATAATTGGATGTATAAAATATATATAGTAATAATTTTATATTAAAATTCATTTATGATGTTATTACTTAAAATAATTAATTTTTTTAATCTACTGATTATTCAAGTCTTTTATTTCGCCATGATTAAGAAAAATGCTTAGGAACAATGGTAAACAGTGCTGTTAAGAAATACATTTAAAAATGAAAGCTTTTTTTGTAGAAACTAATTTCTTTTATAGAAACAATATAAATTATTTAAAACAAATATTATTATGAATAATAATTATATTTATATTTTTATATATAATGTAAATTACACGAACTTTATATTTAAATTTAATATACTGCAAGGTCATATTAATATAAAATTAAAAAATATTATGATTGACTTGAAAAAATATAAATTAAAGAAAATGTTTTAAATAGTACAAGATTTTATACATATTAAGCAGTAAACATTAAAGAATAATGATTTTTAAATAATTCAATACGTTTGACTTAAAAAAATTCAAATGAATTATTTCATTTCAAAAAATAATAAATAAATATAGAAAAAGAAACTGATTTAAAAAAAATTCATAAAACAAACTATATACATATACATTAATTTAAATATTGAAAAAACGAACTGTTTTAAAATTTTAAATTATGGCTCTAATATTTACTAGAATACAATCAAAATCAACAATTATACATATAAGTGGTATTCTAAAATAGCACTAAAGCATATTTTAAATATTAACTGAAAACATAATTTTTATAAATGATTTATATTAAAATATAATAAAGATAATTATAGTTTTAATATGTCTGAAAAAAACATTTTTCATTTCATTGAATTAAATTTTGTATAAAATTTAAATATATTTGTACATATGCAGTTAAAAAAAAATTTGTATATATATTAGAAAATTAATATACATACAATAATTAATTTACATCTCATTACTATGTTATTAATAAGTTTAGTTAAAAATCCTTATTAAAAAATATCAGATGAAGCTTTGTTAATGATTAATTGATTGTAAATGAAACTCAAAAGTTAAAAAAAATTAAAAAATTATTTCTTGGGAACCAATTAATTAAAAAAAATTAATTAGAATACATTTTTTAAAACTATTAATGTTATTCATTCTTTAACAATATTAAATAATTATATAATTTAAAAGGTTTTTGTTTTAAATACTTAAAAATTTTGGTATTATAATTACGAAAGAAATAAATTTATATAAAATATATTTTCAATTATATAAATGTATTCATATGTTAAATTTTTATAGATTTTTGGTAGTCATAAATAAGATATATTCCAATCAATATTTTAAACGTATACCACTGATTTACCATATTTACACTTACCACATTTATTAAAATGTAATTTAGTAGCTATTCGTAATTTCATCAAGCAAAAAATCTTTTAATTATTCAAAATATCTCTACATGTACGTTCTTTATTTTATCTATGTTACTATTCAAATATTGTTTTATTATATATATAAAAATGAAATATTATTTTTTTTATAAGAAAAAAAAAATTTTTTAGTTTGAATTAGTTTGTGACATAAATAAATATATTTATATATATCATGTAGTGAATGTCTCATATTGATTTTTTATTAAATTTTTTTAATTAATAATACAACAAAATTTATTTACCCTTTCAGGAGTTATAATAGGAGCCATTGTATCCAAATCAGTACATGGAAATTCAATTCCTTTTGTTTTGAGTTCTTGATAAACATGTACAATACCTTGTGTATGTGGCTGGTTTCGAAATGTATCTGCCCAAGTCTGTATTAGATTCAGTACTTTTTCTTGTACAATTGTTGGAGGATCATTCTTTGGTCCAATTAATTTTACTAATTCCAATGCAAATTCTTTGGAGCATGCTAATACATGGAAACGCTTACCACAGTTTTTTACACAGGTTTCCAGAACCTAATCATAAAATATATAGAAATTAATAGAATAGAGATTATCTAAAGAATAATTTTTATCAATTTAATATTTAATGAAAATTGTAGAATTAATTTTATAGACAATATATTTCAGAAAATAAGTAATATAAATTCAGATATTTCAAAAATTCAATTTCATATTTTATATAATACACTTACAATAAGAGTATACATAACGATGATATAGTTTTTACCAGCTGCCTGACTTAATCTACGTTTAATAGCTTTAACAGCATCTCTAGGACCATCCTCTGTTTCATTAATCATATCACAAATTTCCATATTAAGTGCCCAATTTTCACTAGGCAAATTTGCATCTGTGGCTTGTTCTACAACGTGAAAATGATATAATAAAAATATATTATTATTTTCAATCAATTAAAATTCACGTTTAAATTTACCTATTTTTTGTCCAAGCACAGAGGTAAATGGATTAGTTACGTTAACTCCAAAAAATGACATGCTTCCTTAGTTGATTATTGTACTGAACTAAGACTATCTGTAATATATAGACACAACAGGGTACTCAGTCTAAGGACACAAATGACTTATAACTTATATCCAATAAACTTTTTAATATTGATAACTGAATACAAATACTTGCAAAAATATTTCTATGTAGTTCAATAATTCAATTCTTCCTAAACAATGTAATTAGCAACCTATCACATGAAAACCTTATTTTGTTTTTACAAAAAATTGTATAAGATGAGCGATAATAAAGTTGTAATGATTAAGACCACAAATTCTCTTTCTATCTTTTTCATAAAAATTTAGTGTTAGAATTATGACAACTTAGAATTGTGACTGTAAAAAAAAGAAAAAATTGTGCCTCCCTTTATTTAGTATACACTTAATAAATCATATAAGTAAAAAACAAACTGCTAACGTAATCGTACATTTATTAGGATAAAATCGATTTTTGTATCGTCTATTTTTATTCTTTATTTTTAATTCGTGCTTTCTCTTCCTTATTTGATCATCTCGTTGCAATACGTTTTTTGCTGTATCACGAGTATACTTAGTTGCGTACAATATTATAAAATATAGGCTAAAGACGAGTTCTACATAGATGAGCAAGTATATACATGCCTAAAATTGTAAAACATATAGATGCGTGATTTGTCGTGCATGGATTCGTACTGCAACGCAGCTGATTTCTATGAATTGTAGCCTATATGCATCCTTATCCTTCAACGTATTATTTTATGTACTGTAACTGTGCACACTACTCAGAATTTCATATAGTGCAAATACGTGGGATGTTACGTCATACTACTCGATAAATGCTACAATATCGTAATGAACATTTAACTTCCAATGAAAGTAGAAATCATTACCATATAATTATTTGAATTATAAAATAGCTGACTAAACATTTTAAGATATAGTTAGCATGGAAAATATCGAAACATCGGATACTGAGATTCATTTTAATAATGAAAAATTTTAAGAAAATTAAATTTTTTTATATAATTTACTACATAAAATGTAGAAATAAATTTATATAAAGAATTTATATGAAGAAATAGATTATAAAGTTCAGCAATACTTTCAATTTGTCATAAATTTCAAATTTTTGATAAAATGCTGTTTAAAAAATAAGACTGAATGCATACATATAAATAATCCAATAAACTTTATAATCGGTATCTTACTAATAATTCAAATAAATGTATAACACGATTTTCACTAATAAAAAAAATTAATTTAAATTTATATATTATTTATCCATTATTCAAAATTATATATTATTATTATTAATATATATCGTGTAATTTTATAAAATTAGTTGTAAGTTATAACACGGTTGGTTACATGACGTATATGAAAAGTCTATTCATACAAAATAAAGATTATAAAATGAGTAACAGAGATTTAGATTTATTCAAACAGTATATTATTCATGAAATATTCAAAAGTAAAGGCAAACATCACCTACTGATAAATCTAAAGTAATGTTTTGCATTTAGATTTAGGCAACTACATCATAAAAATAAGGAAACATATATATGCAAGTGTATATTGCACTACATGATTGCAAATGCTATTATTCCATCGATAATTACATATATTAATCTAAACATAGTTTTGTATATATAGTATTTTGTATATATATCTATGTATAGAAAAAATTTTAAATTTTGTTTTGGTACGTCATTAAAATATGTTTCAAATTAAATTAATGCTATTATTATTATTCTTTATTTTATTTAAATAATAAATTTATACTTTAAACGAATAAAATATTTTTTTTGATGAACAAAATTTGTATTCGTCAATCTTCAATATAAAACATAAATATCAGATAATACATATTACTATTAATAAGTCTCGGGCATTCATGGAAAAACTTCTAAATTATAAATAACATTTAAAATGCAGTACATCTATACTTCGTATGTATAATATTAGCAAGTGTTCAATCAATAATAAAACAAAAACAAAAAAATTCAGTTAGTGACACTCATTATGTAGCATGGCAACAGCCAAATATCAGATACACGTAATTGCGATGGCTTCAGGCCATCGTTACAAGCTGATTGGCATTTATAAGTGTAGTGAAATAAAGTATTAGCGATATGCTGCAATCACACGAGTCAAAGAAATATACGATTATAACCAAGGATTTAATACTGACTTTAGCAAATGAACAACAATCGCGAAGGCGTCGTCGTCGAACCATTGATGTTCTCAATAAAATAGAAGAAATACGTCTAGAATATTTGAGTAAGTTAAGTGATCGTTCGCTATTTATTTTGTTCTAAATAAGTTTATAGGACTGGATTTTTGCTGTTTATTGATTCCAGAATAAGCATTGTCGTTGAAAAAAATGAGATGCTATATTATGCTTTTAAAGTTTTAAAGGAATTTGACACAAAGAATTCTATTGTGTTGCTTATGTACTATTTTAATTATTTTTTCATATTGTACATTATATTTTGTTTATATTAAAAATAGCTATATAAAAATACATTAAAAACAAATAGATTAATATTTTGATAGTATAAAGATAAAATGTAGTTTTTTTCATAAGCATTTTATTATATTAAAAACTTTATTATTTTATTAATTAATTTTTTAATTAAAAATAAAAATTATTTATTTCAATTTCATTATTTATTCATTGAAATTTAAATTAATATGAATATTTAAAGACTTATAACGGAAATACATTTAAGAAACGAAACCCAAGTATATTTTTAAAGTAAATCTACATGTTAAAAAATAAATTTACAGTAAAATATTGTCAATAAAAAAAAATATAATCGAATATTAGAATAGTTTAATAGAACAAAAATAAATAAATTAAAAATATATATTTTAGTAAATAATTAATTCATAAATAATTTGTTTGAAAACAATCAGTAAAATATGATTAGTAGTACAATTTAAAGTGATGTAATGATAATTATATTTTATAAAATATAATTAAAATATTAAAAATTGTATTTTGTATATTTTTCAAATTCATATTTTTCTATAAAAATTAAAAATTATAAAAATTGCACAAATTTTTTAGATATTTTACAAATAGATTGCTTATGGCCATTGACGAACTTGGTGAAATTGAAACTTAACAATAACGTCATTGAGAAAATCGAAAATTTAGAGAACTTAAAAAATTTATGTGAACTTGATCTTTCTTTCAATCGCATCAAAATAATAGAAAATTTGGAATCACTTACAAATATTCATATTTTGACTCTTTATGATAATAAAATTGAAGTTATTGAAGGAATCGAGCATATGCAAAATCTTACCATTTTTAGTATTGGCAAAAATAACATTAAAGATTTTGATCATGTAAGAAAATTTTGGCATATATTCATGAATTTCTATATCTATATTGAGATAAATTTAAATATGTATATACGGTTTAAAATATATATATATGTATGGATGTAAGTATATATTTATATTAAGTAATGAATGAAATCTAGATTTATATTAAATTTCTTTTTAGAAATATTTTAATTTAATAATAAATAAGTAAAGTCAGCAGTAATAGATATATATTAATTAATTGTAATTTTATTTAAATAAAGTTTTTTTATAAATTTTAAAGTAAATAAATAATTTTATTTATATTCAATGAACAGTACAATAATTATTATTTATTCCATTAAAATTGTATTCACTTGAATATGTATTTTTTAATATTTTATTATTTAGATTTTATTTTTACGGTATCTCAAGAATTTACGAAGCTTGCAAATGGAAGGAAATCCCTGTACTCAACAAAATGGCTATACATCTTATTTGATAGGATTTATTCCACAGCTCATATATTTTGGCTACAAAATGATAACAAAGGAGGAGCGGGCTAACGCAAACAAAATACATCAGTAAATTCAATTTATAATATTCATAATGTAATTACATAAATATTTCTTGTCAGAACTTTTATACATTCTTACATAACATATATTTTATAAATTGTAACCATTATAATTATATAACATAATGTAAATAAATTTGTTGATATAATTTTATTTTATTAAATAAGTATAAATTTAAAAGATATAAATTTCTATAGAAAAATTTGATTTCATTCAGAACGATCATTATAATATTATCTATTAATTTTTATTTGAAATTAAAAAATTCAAGGTAAATTTTTGTTTTAATAATTATAATACAATTATTATTTTTTAACAATAATACGATCATAGATGTATACTTTACAATAAAAAAGTTATCTAATTTATTTCTAGTTTAAAAGAAACATTCAAACAATTTAGTATTATTTAATTTATAAATTTATATCTAGTTAAATCTATTTAATTATAATAGGATAAATTATACTTTCAAATCGAATTTTCTTATATTAAATCATTTGAATTTTTTATCAAAATATTTATATTATATATGACTATGCAATATAATTATGTAAGTTATTTTATATGTAGTTATTTATTTTCTAATAAATGAAATATTTTTTGTGTATTCATTATAACAATTTTATGTACAAAATTATTAATTGTAAATTTTATTTATTAATATAGGCGAGCAATAGAAAGCCTAATGGAAACTGAGACAAAAAAGGAAAACGAATTAAAAACTATTAAAAGTGCAGAGAATAAAGTAGTCGAGTTATCAGCTTCTTATGTAGAATACCTTGATGACAATTGTCTTTTTGAGCTGATGTTTAAGGAGGATGAAGGTTTATTTGTGTATATATACATACATATATATATATATATATATGCATGCATGCTTATTCGCGCGCGCGCACGCACATACACACACACACACACACACACACATGTTGATATCCATATGTACCCAATGTTCAATTTAAATTTCTTTAAGAAATTAATTTTAAAAGTAGCTAAAATTTAGGTACTTAATTTAATAAATATTTATTTGTTTTCCTAATTAAATTATTTAATAGTGAAACAGTAGTGAATTATGTAATCCTATGTAAACATATTAAAAGTAAAATAAAAATCTGTTTTAATGCAAAAATAATTTTATTTTTTTAGATGGAACAAATTTTGCTAAATTTAACGAGGAGTTCATATCTCTTTTTGAGCAATATAAACAGAATTTTTCAGATATATGTCATCAATTATATAATATTGGCATAACAGAAGAAAATCGAAGACGCAGTGAAGTAGAAGCTCTGTATAGTATCATGCATGATAAGCTTATAAATGCTATAAACAAAGCACGTCAGTAAGTAAACGAAATCAAATATTAAAAAATTATTTTTTGTTATAGTTATTGAATTTTAAATAAAAACAAACAAAAATTATTTTCAAAATCTTGTAAAAAATATATACTTAATTATATACTCAATGCTATATGTATTAAATCATGGATTAAAAATTTTTTTTTCATTATATTTGCAATTTAGCACTATTCCAATTTTTATTTTATTTAAATAATTTCATGACAAAGAATAATGGACAGCGTACAAGGTAAAAGAGTCGAGATTAGTGTTCGTATTACACAACTCCTACGTGAAGCTGCAATAGCTGATGCTGATCTTGATGATGATGCTATCGATGAAATTGATAAAGTTGCTAGACAATTATCACAAGAATTTCATGATTATACCAATACTATATGGGCAAAATTAATGTACGATGAAACATTAATCCACGATCAAATCGATGTAATTATATTTTATATAGCTGAAAAATATCAATAAGTAAATGAATATATTTTAGCTACTTTCTAAAATTATACTTATTTTATGAATAACTTCATTTTAGACATTATATCGATTTCGATTTTTCAATTATATTTATTTTTAATATTATTATATATAAAATTTTAGTATCATTTTAATAAATCCTTTTAAATATATTACATACTTATACAAATTCTATTTTTTTAAATAATCAAATTACTGATATAGATTTATAATAGAACCAAGATTTATTTATTCAGATATATATTTATTATAAAACTTTAATTTGAAAATTAATAATGCATAAGTTATAGTTTACATTACACACGAAAGATCAAAGTAAAATTATTACAGGAAATGAGTAAAATATTTGAAATTAATATCAGTGATATGGTAACTTCGTTTTTGGAATGTGCACAAGATTATTTTTCGCAACTACGAAGTCTTGAAACGGAATACTTTGAAACTCTATTACCATTACTTTCATATTTTTTGAGTAATATTGATGAAGAAAACAAGACCTCTTTTATTGCAGATCTCACAGAAGAAAAAGACACTCTAAGTAATCGTTTGACTACTTCACATTTTCTACACATTCAGGTATATAGATTTATATTTCTTTTAGGGTAAATATTAAATTATTTATTTAATATAATCATTATTTTTAGGAAATTATTTTTGAATAAGTAGGAAATATTCATTATTTCAATTTTACTAAAACAATATTTTATATTGATTGCATAAATATTTTTGTATAAATTGTAAATTAATTTTACTATTTACAGTTAAACTTAGTGTAACGAAGTCAATACATAATATTAAAAATATAATGAATTAATATTAGATTATAGTTTAGATTAGATTATACTATATAATTATAGAGAAAGTAAAGTATTGTTGGTTTAATATTAGTTTTTGATAAGAGTTAAAAAAAATAAAAATAAATTGCGTTACATGTATAAGCCACACAAAATACTGGAAAATTTGAAAAAAAGGCAAATTGTTTCATTTGACAACTGAAATATCCAAACTTCAGTTTGTATTTATTTTTCTAGTAAAAATATTAACGTGCATATATTACTTAGGAGTGTTTTTATAAAATAATTAATAACAATTGGAAATATTTGTATCTTATTTAAGTATTGATTAATCAAAAAATCTAAACGCTTATTTTTATAAATAAATAAATATGTTTATGTATAATAATTATGAATGAATTTTAAATTAATTACATCATAAATTTGATAAAATTTAAAATTAGCTCTATATTTATTCTATTATGTTTTTATTATATAATATTAGATAACAAATTTGTTTAGCCAATCTCTGTATCAAAATGAAGTTTTTTTCTTTATAAATGCATCCATTTAAAATAATTTAAACTAAAAACAAATAAATTCTCGTTTTTTAAAAATCGAAAGTCTTTGAATTCAAAAAATTTTTATGTATACAGAACGCTATGCTGTAAAGTTCAGTTTTACCTTCCAAAAGTAATTAATAAATTCGTGTTTTAGACGGATACTTAAATATTTAATTATTTTTTTGACATTAAAAAAATTTGTATCACCATTGCTAACCATTTTATATTTGTTTTATACACGTTACTATTAGATAATCGACGATCGTCAAGATACAATGTTAAGACGACTTAAAGATTGGCAATCAAACTTTCTTAAAAAATTAATTGAGTGAGTATAAAACAAATAAATCGAATATTTTAATGTTTAAAATTTCTTTTTATAAAATTTCTTTTAAAGTGTTATTTATAAAATTTAATACAAATTTGAAAAATCATACAATTTATAAACATTACATTTATTGTGATTTAAATTTTTATTTTATGTATATAACTAATAAATTATTCTAAATAAATTGAATCATAAAAATAAATTTTATTTCATTTATTTTTAAATATGAATGAATTTGAACCTCGGCTAAATTTAAATTACTTTATAATTTGATTATTTAGATTATATTATTCAATATAAAATTGTTAAATTTATATTTAAATACAGATTAAATTTGTTTTATATAAATATATAGAAATTTTAATGTTAATATAAAATTATTATTTAAAGATGAAACCTAGTTAAAATATGTTGAACAAAACTATTTACAAATTATGTAAAAAAATTATTACAATAATCTGTTTAACTTTAAAGAAAGTGTAATATTTGCTTCTTACGTAATGAACAAATATGTTTAACCTAGTAATAAAATGTTCCATGCTGGATCCAATCTTATATTTTTTGTTCAAACAACCTAATTGGTATGTAATTATGTTAGATTTTTTTCGTAATAGTAATTGTATAATATTCTTTAGAAAATAATATAAAATCTTATAGATATAGTATCATCTAAAGTAAATTAAATTTTAAGAATTATATTAATATTACATTTATGTAATCGGACAATGTATTATTTGGTTTGTTAAGTGTCATTTAGTATAACGGATTTATAGTTGTTCATTTAAAATTAACCTATTAAGTAAGAAAATTATGAATTTTTAAAAAAATAAGTAATATAAGTAATAAGTAATAATAAGTAATATTTTTCTTTTCAGCTTTATGTAAAAAATTAAAGATTATGATTAATTTTTATGATTTATATATTATTGTCAATATTTGAAAATTACTTTATTTTAGGAATGAGATTACAAGACATAGAAACCAAATTTTAGAAATAACCTACTTTCTTGATCATCATCGTCAAAATACGTCTGTATCAATGTTAATTGGTCAACAGTTAAATATAGAAGAAAATGAAAATGAAAATGAATATAAAGTTAATAGCGATATTGAAGCAGAAAATTAAGAAAATAACTAAGTATAATCAATTTTTTAATATTAAATTTTGTATTTTTTCTACGAACAAGTTATATATGTATTTTTATATATATAATCTAACGTACATGAAATATTTACTGTAAACTATTTAACACACTATGCAAAGATAATTGGTATTATAAAAAAGTATAACTATTAAATTTTAAGCATCCATTTTATATTAAAATACATTTCATTCCTCATTTTCATTTTTACTTAGATTTCTTTTTCAAAGATTGTATGTATAAATCAAGATTAGTCTGAACTTGAGGTAGTTGCACGTAGTTCAAAAATATTGTTGTATCCCATTCTCGATTTCCTTCTAACCAAGTAAGTGTTTCTTTTCTCAAACTTAATTTTGTTGCTGTTCGTGCCTCAGCTAAAAATTAATTTATATTAATATATATAAAAATAAATATATAAAATTATATTATAATTGATTAATTCTAAAAATTAGTATATTTATAATTTTTATTTTGTATGAAATAACAATTACAATATCAAAAGATAATATTAAGTATAATACAAATATTACTTTATAAATTATCACAAATACAGAAGTATTTCTATTTCTACTTAAAAAAAATTCTTTATTGGATACATATTATACAAAATTAATTCAAAATATTTCAAATGTGATATAATTTAGAAGTTTAAATGGGTGAGTAAATAAATATTTTTATTTTAATATACATAATAAACAAATTACAACTGGTAAAATTTGTATCTATTTACAATTTATTTTTATTTTATTTACAATTAATTTTACTTACTAGAAATTTTTGCATAATCAGTAATATAGCTGATACATTTGGTAAGTGCATCAGTCTTATTCGAAGCTAGTTCATCAACTAGTCCGACTTTTAAAGCTTCTTGTGGTTTAAAAAGAGTTCCTCTATAATTTAAAAATATGAAAAGTATGTTATTAGTTGATGACATAAATTAAAAATTTGCATTGTTAATATAACTGTATTAATTTAATATCCAGTTATTAATTCAATCAATCAATTGTCAAAAATTCTAAAAATGTTTTTAAAAAGTACTGTAGAAATATAAACTTTATATTTAAATAATATAATAAAATGTATTTATGAACTATATGTACTATATGTACTATATATATATTTACCAAATTAAATATTAAATTTTGTTTTTACATTATTTATCAATAATCACATGTATATTTGTCCTTTACATATATTATGAAATCGTTCTTTATAATTTACAAATTTATATTGAAAATATAAATTTACATAAAACTTATGTAAATTTTATACTGCAATTTTTAAACTTACCTTAAAAGAGCTAGTTCAGCTTGTCGATAACCAATTGTTGCTATTAAAGGATCTTGAAACCATTTTGGAGCAACTATACCCAATTTGGTTTCATTAAGACCAATGGTGTGTAAACCATCTACCATTACTCTGTATTCACATGATAATGCAAGTAAGCATCCTCCAGCTGGGCTAGCACCCTAAATAATTATTTCTTATTCATCTATATGTTTAGTAGTACTAGTAATAAACATAAATATTTAATATAAATAATGAACGAATGAACATTATTATTACAAAAGTTAATTTAAAACAAAATTTAAATTATAAAACTGATTTAATTTTATTTATAAAAGTCATAGTTTATTTTTGAATTTAAAATATATTTTGAATAATACAGAGAAATAAAGAAATATTCAGCTAAATTTTTACATTAATGGCTGCTGCTGTTGGGATACCTAAAGAATATAATGTCAACCATAAATCTTGTAAGGAATGCCAGAAATCGGTACATCGCTTTAAATCTGGTTTGTACATTTCTAAAATATCCAAACCACCTGAAAATACACTCGCTAATGATGATGTAAGAATAATTCCTTTAGTGTTATTATCAATGGAATTTTCTATAGCTTTTCGTAATTCTACTGCCATTTCTAAACTCAAACTATTAACTGGAGGTCTTGCCATGGATATTGTTGTAATTCCTAAAATATTTTAGATTTAGTAAAATATATAATTTAATAGCTTTGAAATATTTTTAAATATAAATTGAAACATAAAATCTAAAGCTAATAGTGATTTATATAATTACTATTATTATGTAATACATGATAAAATTGAACTTTGATAAATTTATCATCTATCATCATCATCAAGTATAATCTATAGTATTTTTTACATCTATAAATAAATTTCATACCAAATATTAAAAATTAATTTTTATCCATGTAAAATATACATTTAAAAAATAGTAAGAAAATTACACATTTTACACTTAATTATAAATTAAGAAAATATTTTAAAAGTCAAATTTTTTTATTATCTATTTATGATTAATTTTTTAAATAATACTTCAATATTTTATTTTCAGAAAAATAATTGTTCATATCTTTAGATTTAAAATATTGGAAAAAATCTACATACCATTATTATTTTGAATAGTCTCGACAAGTTTTCCCTTCAATGATTGTTGAGAAGCATTTTTACTCAATAGGATAAATTTTGACTTAATTAAAAGCAATGTAGAAGTTCGCATTATGAAAGATATACTTGCCATTCGTAAGAATTATGTAAAATTATAAGTAAATGATTTATAATTACGAAAATTGCAGTGGTATATTTAATAAGCATAAAAAACAAACTATATATTTGTACATTCAAAATCATATAAACTATTCTGTATAAGGTTATGATGAATATATATACATACATATGTATATATGCAGTGCGCGCACAGGCGCATACTTATGCACATTGTGTAGAGATAATAAAGCTAAATTGATATCTGAACGAATAGTGCCTATAGAGTACTATCATATTTTAATAGAACTTTTTTATTTACATATAGTAGAGCATTGCTTGTGCTTTTATTTATCGCTATAATTAGATCATCGCGTATAAAGATATATATATATATATATATATATATATATATACAGTTATGTGTGAAATTAAACAAAATTGTGAACAAATATTAATTGCTTGCTACGAATGCCTCGAATATTTAAGAGCATCGATAAGGTTTTAATCATTTTGGAAGATTATTTAATAAATTCATTTTGTTATTGAGTTCTAATGCATGATAAATACAGATTTTTCTTTAGCAGCTCATATTTTAATAAATAGGCGTTAGTTTATATATCAGAAATTTTCCAATTATAAATTATAAATGCAAGAAAATGTTTCAAGTATGGTATAAATAAAAATATTAAAAAACAATTTTAATAATATTACTCTTATATCCATACGTGAAATAAAATATAAAAACATTCGGAATTTGGTAAAATATGAAGATAATAATTTTATAAAATTATTGTATTGCAAATTTTTCCATATTGTAATATTATAAACAATGCAATCGCTTGTGACTTTATATGCTATTTAATTTTTAACTAATATATGAGTTATTTAGGTTAATTAATGTCACAATAGAAATTTAAACAAAAACGAAGTACATTGTATTACTGAGTTATCTACATTAATATAAATTTTTATTTAAAAAAGTAATAGAAAATAAAAAACCATTATTTTATTATTATTTCTTTAAATATTCTTTCATTGTGATAATATAAAATTTACAAAAACCATATAAGATTAAAATATTGCTGAATAGATATATTGAAAAATATGAATATTATAGAAATATTATCTGTACGAACAGGAATTTTAAAACTAATTATATCATGTTATTGTGAGGAAAATCATTAAACTCGATGTATTAAAATAATCATTTTTATTTCGATAACAATTTGATTAAAAATATTTTATTGTGAAATGCTACTACTAGAGCTGGTGTTAAATGTCAGAAATATTTAAAGAAGTTAGGTACCAATGTTTCGACGAGGATTAACGATTATTTTGGAGAGAATACTTATTTAGAATAAATAAAATAACTAAAATAACTAATCAAAATTACTAATAAAATTAATAAAAATATAAAAATAACTAATGAAATAACTAAAATAAATAAGTGTAATGATGTCCATCTTGCAAATGTATTAAATGTTCTCGTTTCTTGAGAAAAATCATCAGTTTATATAATCAGAATCCTATTATTAAATATCATGCTTTCAATTTCTTATCCAATTGCAATTAGACACTTTTTATTATCTGCCTTATCTACTTATACATGTAAGCATTTTGTATGGTAATCATTTGTAAAATATTTTTACAATTTTATGTTATTTTTGAGAATTTGCGAAGATCTGATTTATTTTGGATTATTTTTTTTTAATTTTTACTTTAAACATTTTAACTTTTAAATAAGTATTACAATCCATAAAAAGTTGGATATTTTTAAAAATATTTAATTGTACAGTATTTTACGTGATTGTAGTTATATTACATAATTATATAATTTTTATTAAAATAATTAAAACTTCGAACAAATTCATTTGAATAATGGTTGCATGTTGTTGAATTGTCAAAATTATAAATAAATTAAATATTTATTAATCTAATTAATAACTTAATCCATTAATAAACTTTTATTTGTAAATTAAAAAAAAATATTTTTACAGATATGAAAATAAACAAATAAAAATAATTGCTCAATATCGATAGATGGGAAAAATTAATCACAATGATTATCTTTCAAACAAATATTTATAAATAAAAAATTGGCAGTAGGGAATAGTAGAGAATTGACATCCGATTTAATTTCAAATTCCATTTATAAATTACCTTTAAAAGTATAATTTTCAAAAGTCTTTTTTAGACTTATAGCTTCGCATAGTTGTTTATTTAATAATCAAACATCAACATAATGTAATGATGACTAAAAAAAAATTAAAATGAACACATAAATTTGCATATCCGTCTTCGGTGATTTCGAATGTTATCTTATACACTCAATTTTATTAATTGCAAAAGATATTGTATTAAGCAATTAAATTTAATTTTTATTTCTATTTAAGGTACGTGCTATAGGAAAAAAGGTATATTTTGAATTTATCTCTTCATTACCACAACGATTATATTAGAAAAATATATTTTTAAATTTAAGAATTGTTCAAATTTATACTGAATACAACAAAATATTATTTAAATTATCAATAATATTAATAAGATTCTGTAAAATAATTTAACAATGTACAAGCAGTAGTTTCTATTAATAAATTTGTAGGCACGACGTATATGTATATATTTATATATACAGATTTACTTTTATATATGCTTATATGAAAATATTTTCGAAAAATCCACTGCTATATATTATTCGATACTAATTTTATATTTAAAAAAAAAACAATAAAATTAATCATAAAATAATAGCCTTTATTGGCTAATGATATTCTTCATTATTTGAAGTACAGCATATATTTTTTTACTTTATGGGATATTTTATCAATATAAATAAGCTCTATAAAAAATAAAAAAATAATTTTAACGAAGTGTATTTAATAGCATGTAATGTCTCTAACATAATTTGTATGTTTGTAAAATTACAATAAAAAAATTGCTAAGAATTCTTCTTTTAAATATTTACATTATTTTGGTACTGGACCTGCAATACATAGCAAAGATAATAATAAAAGAAAACAATACAAAAATATTTTATAATAAAAAATGAATTCATATGAAGCCCCGCAACGAAGAAGATAAAAATATTATTAATAACATCGAAAATATTAATAGAAATCATCTTATAATTCTGAAATTGTAAAATATCGCTAAATAATAAAAGATGTCCATTTTTTATTTGTTTCTATAAAATTCAAATATTGATTACTTTTAAACTAAACACGAAACAAATTTATATTGAGTGTTCATTTTCTATTAAATGAGTGGTAATCATTTAAAATAAATTAGGTCATGCATTCATTTATATTGAAGCTTGATTCTCCTTCTCCTTATGAGTTTCGTAGCAGTAGTGGGAGACTCGTGCTGGTAGGGGCAGCGAGTTGGGGCCGCCTTAGCTGTGGCGTAGGGTGAGCGCTGTAGTGGTGGGAGGATGTCCGTGTGACGTCACTGCTTGACGGAGTAGGAGATTCACTCGTATCGTATCGGTGTAACGTGATATAGATAGTGTGCGGTATTGATGCATGCCGTAGTGTGTTGCTGCTTACGTAGTTGACAGGAGCTGTGTTTAGTAAGACGTAAGATGGTGATGACGTGCTTATGTGCGGGCTGAAGCCGATCTCTGTAGTATTAGTAAGACGTAATAACCTGTGTAATAGCATAGCTTACGTGCGAGCTGGAGTCGATCTCTGTAGTATTGGTAAGACGTAAGAGCGTAGCTTACGTGCGGGCTGGAGCCGATGTCTGTAGCATTGGTAAGACGTAAGAGCGTAGCTTACTTGCAGGCTGGAGTCGACTCTGTAGTGTAGTAAGACGTAAGAACGTAGCTTACGCGCGGGCTGGAGTCGATCTCTGTAGTAGTAGTAAGCCGTAGGAGCGTAGCTTACTTGCGGGCTGGAGCCGATGGAGGCGTGGGTGCCGGTATAGTTGTGGCATCGCCATTAGTTCTTTAGGTTGCTTGATGCTTGCTATGGCTTCATAATGGCGAATGCAGGTTGGATAGCGAGCACGATGTGGAGATCGCGTAATTGGTACTAGCAAGAGAGCGAGAGCGAGCTCAGCTCCTTAAATATCCTAGTACAAGCTTGCGGATCCAGTGACTACCGGATCACTCTTGCCATTCCGATTGTTAGAGTGACGTCACTAGAGTCTAGCCTTGGGGCGTTCGTCAGCCTTGTTAATCGGAATTATAATGTAATATTCGAATATTTTGCGTAGTGAAGTTTCCCGATTTCACAGAATTGTGTTTATGACTCGGCGCGCAAATGTTTCTAACTAAGCACAGATGTCTTTACCTCTCCAACTTTGTATACCGCTTAAAACTGCTGTAATCCGTAACAATATCAAATAAAAACATTAACTATGCTCTTAATAAAAACAAAAAAAATTTCCTACGATTAGAAATTAGAAATTATCTTTTATCTGAAACGAACAAATGAATATACGATAGTATGATTTTATTTCTTATAATAGTCATAAAATAAAATTAAAAAGCAATAGAGGTGAAGTTTTCACAAAAATAATGACAAGGTTATTGTTATTTTTTAGAGGGCAAAATAATTTAATTCCAATGTTTTAATATCACCCATATGTGAAAAACGGGTATTACTAACCTCTCTTACATATAAAATACAAAAACATCTCTGGAGTTTATAAATTTACAATAATTTTTAAATTCTCTAGAACATAATTAATAATTCATATTGTTTATTTTATTGGCTTTTATAATTAAGTAATTTTTATATTAAAATTTTTATAATTTATTTTAAAACCTTAAAGGACATTCGAAAATAGCACATGAATAAAATATTCGCATAAATTGTGAAATATATAAATTTTATATTTTATTATTTTATACGCGTTTAAAAAAAGTTGTATGTTTGGAATTAATTTTTTTTATTCATACTTAATTAAAAATGATTTTATTATTATTTTATATAATACTCAGATATTAAAAGTTACAAATTTGTTTAGATGTCTATATAAATAAAACATTAATTAGATATAATTCATTAATCTTAAAATATAAATATTATTTTTATTTATAATCACTTACAAATCCAATATATATATGCATGCTCTTATTTCAATATAAGAAGGAAAAATATTATATATATTTTATATAACAAAATAGTTGATAACATAGTGTATTTTTATTAACGTAATATATTTAGAAGTAAAAAGTGAATTGAGATATTTTTGTTTTAAAAATTACTTTAAATTTCTATTGTTTTTTCTCCTTACTACAAACAAATTGACCAAGAAATACTGTTTATAGTTAGTTATTATATTGCATATTTTTAAGATAGCAGATTAAAAATATAAACTTAAGAATTATTTTGTAGAATGTGTTCTTCAATTCAAGAATTCTGTAATAATATATTTTTATTAATATTATAATGATAAAAAATTAGAAATTAATAAATTATTTTTCATGTTAATACTGAATTTCACAAACTATAAAGAAATGGTACAAAGAAATTATATTAAAAATAAAATGCACTTCAAAATAAAAGAAACTAATGACATGCTTATTTTTTTGATTTATATAAACACAATTTGGAGTTGTTAATTAATTTATTTTTGCAAGGTGTAACTAAACATTATATTTAAAAGGTACAATTCTTAAAAATTACAATTTACATTATATTATTTTATAATTATGACAAAAAAGTATCAAATCATAATTTATAACTATATTGAAAAGATCAATAAAAAAAATTAGCCATAATTTGCTATTCAATTTCGATCAGTATACAATAAGTCTTATCAAATTTAGACCAAAAAATAATAAGAAAAGAAAATAATTAATTAGTACATCAAGTAAAAGTAAGAGTTAACTCGATAAAGTTATTGCATCTTTGGTAAAATTTTCCGACTTCAAATATTTAATTATATTATATATTAACATTTGATTTATAAATTAAAGAAATAATTATAGGCTTTAAGTGACATAAATATGACATGAAAAATTAAATATTATTTTAAATAACTGTTTCCTATAAAATTTGTGTCATTGTAATTGTGAAAAATTTTTCTAAATGCAATAATATATTATAATAAATATTAATAAATTGAGTGTATATTACTTTTAAAATATTCAATTCTATGAATCGTATAACATATGAAAAATAAAACAATTAATGAATATTTTAAATGATTAAATAATAGTTGTATAAAAGTTATTTAAAGTTCCTTAATAATAAAATCAAGTTATATTGAATAAATACCGAACGTACCTAATAAATAACGAAGACAATACTTATACTTTTGGTTAAGAAAAAATGATTAAATTAGTAAAAAAATATATTTTACGAAAAGTAATTTTTAAACTTAACTTGAAATTTCCATACACCATTTTTATTGATATAATTTTAATAGTTCAAAAATATTTATCCCATGTCCGTTATAATCGACTGATTTAGAAGGTGTATATTTACACATATTTAATTAAATCCAATATTATTATCGTTATTATTACTGTGTCAATTATGTAAATAAAATAATTTCATAATTTTTTAATTTAGACTTTTAATAAAATGGTATCCAAATGGAATCAGTAATATTATATAAAATCTAAATATATTCATAGAACTTTAAATTATTTATAATTTATATATAGAAATTTTTTTTTAATTAAATATAAAATAATGCGAGATCAGAAATTAAGTAATTGAATTCGTTTACTAACAACAAAATACTTTAGGTTTTAATATATATTTAATTTATGACAAATGTATTAAAAGATAAAAATGATCAATAAATTAAATGTATAATCTTTAAAATTGAATTAAATTAATTTTTTTTAATTAAAAAAAATAATACAAAGTAATATTTGTCAGTTTATTACGTGTGTCGTTCAGATATATTTAATTAGTGGACATATAAATTCAAAATTTGAAATACATATTTGAATATATCCGAATGAGCATCGTCTTTCTATATAACTGTAATAGACATTTTTGTGGTTGTTTATCAAACTTAGTCAAAATTTAGGATCAAGATGATTTAGTCATTTGAGAACTGAAAAACATCCAGTTACGAAATTATTTAAACGATAAGATAGAAATTTGCAAGGGATTAAAAAATAATTTAAACATCCATAAAGATATAAAGATTGCAACTAATAGAAACGATATAAAAAATAATTCATTATAACCAACATAACCAAAGAAGAGCAACGACGAGATCAATTGCATGAATTGCCTACCAAGTAAAAAAAAGATAAAATCGTGCGAGGTTAAATTTTAATTTATAATATTATTTTATCGAATAAAATGTTGACACATATAAGATAATAAACGAATACATGCAAATATAGATATATATACAAATTTATATAAACATATATTGATTTACTTATGTTCCGATAATTATTGTTGTTTCATAAATGATAATAAATAATTCAAAGAGCTGCAATGCTAATGATAACTATGTTGATAAAACAATTTATTAATGTCAATGTTTAATAAAAATTTATAATATAGGTAAATTTTTTTACGAATTTTTATATTTTTATACTTTTTATATTGCGTTTGACCAATTATCATCATTCAAATTAATTTGTATAGAATCTAATAATTCTATGAAGTACTTACGAATATAAAGTTAAATTATTAAATATATTTGGTATTATATTTGTGTTTTACATATTTGATGATTGTATTTTACATTTTTTTGTTGTGTTTTACATATTTGATGATAAATTACATTAACTTAAAATGTGTAGTACGTTGAATAATGTTCGATACTCGAATGTTAATGGTTTAAAAATTTTAGGTTTGTTAATTACCTTATTTATAAGTAATTTATTTGCTGTTGTATCAGAAAATAACTTATTTCAAGTAAAGCGTATAAAGATATTAATCCTCGTTGATACTAATAATAGGAAATTTTATAAAATCGCTACAATCCTAACATCGCGAATTTCTTTGTTTGTTTTAATAATGGTAATAATAAGATTATGTGAATGATAATGTAATACTTTTAATGCTAGAATAAAATAAATGCTGTACAATTATTTTCATTAATGACTTTAATTTTATTATATCGTATATAATTGTATTTAAAAATTTAATAACAATAAAAATAAAAACAATTTGATAAAATTTTGTTATTAATTTACAAAATTTACATTACAGTACAATATTTTTATTTGTTAAAGTTATTTTTAAATTAATTATCAAATTTTATCAAATTGTTTTTATTTCTATTGTTTAATAATCTTCAATCAAAGAAAATAATGCTTGATTAGTTTATTACTAAATTTTATTTATACAGTCATTCAGTATATAAAACAAGATTGATATATATTAATAAATAATAAGTTCTTAGTTTGAATAATATAATTAAAACCCTGAAATTCCAAAAAGTATCTAATTAATGTATAAATTAGAATATATTAATTCGGAAAAATCAACTATTTAATGTAGATTATATATTTTACATTAGACATTTTAGTGTAGCTTCTAAAATTTATATTCAATTTTTATATCTCAATGTAATAATATTGGTTTATCCTTTTTATAATTAGTTCGAATTCAAAATGTTATGATAATATACTTAAATTCAGATTTAGATATAGATTTAGAAATGATATTTTAAAAAGTCAATGTAAAAATATGATGCATATAATTTTCAGTAAAATAGTCATAAAATGTTTGTGTTAAGAATTATAAAAATGTTTGGACTTTAATGAATAGAGATTATAATTTATAGAATATATTTGTAACGATAGTATATGAAGAACTAGAACAAAACGTCACATAAAATAAAAACAAAAATGCGAAAACTGATCATAAGTCATTAATATATTATGTTAGAGATTACTTATAAATGTATTATAGAAATTGAATATTGATATGAATATTTAAATATAAACAATGTACATGAAAATAAAAGTCACGCGGAATATTTAAATAAAGATAAAAGAACGGGCCATGAAATGCACGATTAAATTTAAATTAGGTACATATTTATTTATACATTTAGTATAACTTACTCATATATTCACTATATTAGTATATATATTGGTAATTATAGACTTATATATTCTATATATAGTATTGATAAAATTTATTATCTGCCACATATAAAACAAATCCATCACTTTTTTTATTACTTTACTTTTATTTATACTAGTTTTTTTTTTTAGTATTTTATATTAGTTTATTTATAATATATATAAAGTTTAAATTATAAATCCATTAATACGAACGAGTCTCTATTACCGATATGTCTATCGTTTAAATAAATAATAATTCACAATTTTTTAAATTCTAAATTCAAATTACTTATATAAAACCAAATAAAAGAAGATATAAAATTAAGTAAATATATCGAACAATCAATAATTATATTTATAATTTATTCAAATATATCAAATTAAATTTTGAATTTTAGAATTATTATTATCATACTTTAGTAATGAGTAATTTTAAAATTATTAATGTGTTAAAGTATTATTTAAAATAATCTTTAGGTACTCATCGTGGATAGTACACTTGCCAAAAACAGTAATTGTAAAACTTAATAAAAAATAATTATTATCATACATTTATTAAATTACTATAAGAACACTTCTAAATTGTTTTTTAGTTTCATAACGATTATTATTAAGAAATAAATCAACTAGAATTCATAATATGTGTTCGAAGTACATTCAAGTAAGTGACAAATGCTTTCATAACCTAAAATATAAATATTTAAGTTTTATTTATATGAATAAACATTACCACTAATTGTAAAAGTTTTGATCTTATAACAATTCAATATTTATGTCATAATCATTATTTTAGTAATCTACCAATTATAATACAGAAATTATATTTATACTAAATTTCAAAACATTTGTAACATTAAAGATACATTTCAAATAAATACATAAAATTAAAGATTTTCTTACATTACAAAATGTATATATGGATAGAATTGTCATTTTTCCTGCAGTGAGCACAATTGAGCGTCCTGATATAACCATAATAAAAGTAATATTTTGTTTATCTGAATTGCATAATTCATACCAATTAATACTGTATGCAACTTTTCCTATATTTTCACACTAAAAAATAAATCGCATAGAAATTAATTACTCTTAAGATAAAAGCTATTAGTTTACATTTAACGCTCTTAGATAATTATAACAAATTGTTTTTCAAAATACTAGATATTTATATTTTCATCGTAATGTAAAATATAAATAAAATATATTTACTAAATTTACATAGTAAAATATTAATATTTATTTATATAATTCTAGCACAAAAGATTATTATATATATAAATAAACTTATTATTATAAAAGATACTTGAAGAATATCTTACTTTTTGTGTTAAATGTTCACCTGCAAAACAAAAGATTAACAGATTGAATCCATGCGATATTAAAAGCAAAGTAATTGATATAATACCCCATATATTCTTGTTTTGAAAATGCTAAAATGTTTATAAATAAATTTATTTGGCATTAAGATAAAAGTAATTATATGTATATTTATTTATTTAAAAATGTAAACCTTACAATGATCAAGTAATAACCAAGCATTATAAGATTGAAAGTACATCCTAGCAACTCGATGAAACATGCATAATTCAATGTGTTTTCTAACTTTGTTATGAATCTAAAATATATTATTTTCTATAATTGGATAAAGAAAGAAATCAATGTTAAATAACAAATACCATATAATTAATGTAATTTTATTATAAAAACTATATTACGAATAAATAAATAAAATAAAATAAAAATATAATTATATTTATTTAATAATAAAAAATTTATAGATATAAAAATTTTATAAATAGATAATATATTTTATATGCAATACATGAACAATATCAACCTAATAAATATGTGCAAGACTTATACGGAATAATTCAATACTTTAAGACTCGTAAATGGTGTTTAACAATGATTTTAATTGGTTTTTCTTCTCCACTAGTGCCGAATTTTTTAAGCGCAGCAGTGATTATTGTGCACTGACTGCTAGCATGCATGATAGAATTGATAATAATACTAAAAATACTCGTAACAACTGCAAACATTAGAAAAGTTGATAAGATCTGCAATCCAAGAACTATATCATACATTGGTCTAACCTGAAAAAATATTTTAAAAACTACTATAAAAATTTGATATGTGTTAGAAACAATCTTAAAATACTTAACACTCGATCAAATTAAAAATTGTATAAGTACTAATATATATAAAATAATAATAAAACAATATTTTGAATTTCGATAAATAGTAAATTTCTTAAATTAGAAGCATAATTAATTTGCTTTCTATTTTGTATCAAGATATAAACACAAGTTTCTGCAATTATATTTTATTATATAGTTTATAATAATAACAATAATAATAATAAAAAGAAAACGAAGAAAAAAAATGAAGAAAAAAGAGAAAAATGAAGAAAAAAAGAAGAAAAAGAAGAAATAATAATATTCGTGACAAAATATAGTCTAAAATATATACACGTAAAACATTTAACTTTATTATAAGCGATTTAGTTTTATTTCATTTTTTTGTTGTAAAAGACATGAATATATGCCATTTTTAATCGAACGATTATTTTAGAATTTTTACTACTTACATGTAACAAAAATTTAAGTTATATTTAAGTTATATATTTAACTAATATTTTTAAAAAAAGGAATTTTTCGATGATTTAATATTTGATTTCATTATTAAACTCACTTTTTTACCATTAAATTGATATTAATTTTATAAATTGTTTTATAAATTATATAAATGCATATAAAGTGATAAATAATTTAATGAGTACATTATTAATTATACAATAGAAATTTATACAGTTTCAATAGAGTAATATGCAATATTTAAAAACATTTAATAAATTACAATTAATTTACTTACCTGTGGATTGAAAAAAAAAAAATAGCTTGGAAAAGCCAGATTATTTTTACTAGAAGAATCGATAATATTTTTTACTATGGGTAAAACACTTATGTAGATCATCCCACCGCCAAATGTAAAATATATGCATAATGTAATGAAAAACCTAGCTACTTTTGCATTCTTTAGCATTATACGTTTATTTTCAATTCTTTTTATTTTATGCCAATCAATTGCTATTTGTATAATACAAGCGTGAATATCATGTTTTTTTACAAGTATTATGCCATAATTGAGAGTATTCATTGTGAAAAATATTATAGGGCCGATCATCATGACACGTTCCTAAGATCGAATTTATAAATTACTTATACAAGTATTCAATAATCTCAAAAAGTTTAAATATAGAATAATTTTTAAATCTTCCAATTTTATAATATTCCACATATTAAAGAAAATGTCATGTTTACGAAATATATGCTTTTATGAAATATGTTTATGTTCACTTATTTTATTTTAAATTAATAAAAATATTTACGCAATTATATTTTATTCAACAAATTCACGAGTTTTTTTTCTATTGTTACACTTTAAACTTATAACACAAAATTTTTAATTTTTAGACATTTATAATTATGAAAACAAAACCAATATATTTATAAGTTATAAATTTCAAAATAGATTTACAATTTAAATTCTTAATGGAACCATTTTGTCAAAATTATTTATATAAATAAAAATGTAATAAATATTTCTTTTCATAAATACGTGTTAAATTTAATACTGATTAAAGGAAAAAATTGCTGTAATTATATTCGTGAATTTATATTTTATCAAAGATTGTCATAGATTATATATTTAGTTTATAAAACATATCAAGTATAATTAATTATATAAATACATTATTAAAGTAAAGTAATTTTTAATAAGCATATTTCAATTTCAATAAAAAGAATCATCAATAGATACAATATAGGAAATATTACTTAATATCACTACAAATAATTAATTAGAAAAATTTTGAGAACTTGTGCGATTTTCATTCATCGAATACAATTTGTTTAATTTCTTAATATTTACTAAACTTTTTAAAATGATTTTATATCAGATTTTTTTTTATGGAAATAAAATCTTATTTTTAAAAGAATAGAATTTGTATATATATATATATATATATACGGTCGGTCGAATTCTGTAAATACTTTTATTAGTATAAATAAAATTAAAATGTGCGATTAATAATTATAATTAAATATTAAAACTGTATATAAATTATTTTTAAAATAACAATAAAATTTTCTTATATATTTTAGTCTTCTGCATCATTCGAGACAAATTAGAAATTGCTCGTTGAACATATTACGGCAAAGTTTATTCACCTTTTTGAAATCTAATTCGGCCTTCATAATTAAAAAAAAATTGTAAAGGCCATAATATTAATCAATTTTTAAATATTTTCCTTCAATTAGTTTACTTACATAATGTAATATATTAACAATATATGAGTATTTATGTTTTAATAAGAAAAAATATGTGAATATATTTTATTTACATTGATAATTGAAACTTAAATTTTTATTAAAATTTGTTTATACTAATTATGTAAAATTTTAAATGTGTAAATTTTGTAATACGTAATAAATAATTTTCTATATTTAAAAAAAATTGAAATACTTTTATCTATTACTATAAAAATATTTTAAACGTAGTAGTACGTGATATGGTTTAAAATTTTGCAACTTTACCATGGCATCCTTTTCAAAATATGCCTGCAGACATGATGGAATCAAAAGAAACATAAATAGAAATATACAAATTATAATAAACAACAGACATTGAATATTTTCATAAAATAACGACTTTATTGGCCAGATTCCCAAGAGTTGAAGTAACCACCTTGTTATTTGCAAGTTATACCGGAAATCTTTAATATTTCTTAAATTATCTAATTCTATTGAACCTATGTTGACTCTTGTTTTATACATTTCTGATAATTTAATAAAAATGTTAAAAATTTAAATATAGCATTTATTATTTCTTTATACTATTATTATACGATTTTTCGGTATTTAGTTCTACATACATCGTTATAATTATTAAAATAGTTATGTTTTAAGAATATTTGGAACAAAAATTCAACTTAAATAGTATGTATTAAAACATAAAATACACTTTTTAAATATTTGAACACAATTTTACTTTTTGATTACATAAAAGATATTCGTTATGATTGCACATTGAATAATATCAAACGTACATTAGATATCTCGATTTTTACTGTTTAAAAATGCAAAGTGAGGGTGATTATATCAGAAGGGTCAAGAAAAGTCTCAATGAATTATCATCGATCGTTCTATAAGTTCTTTCGTATCTTATAAAATTCATGTTTCATACATGTATTAAATAAAAATATAGAGTATCTTATATTTGCATACAATGATTTCATTATGCATTAAATAATTTTTTTCAAAATGAAGTTAATTTGGCAATTATTACATTTAATATTTTTATTTAATAAATTACTTTTTTAAAATGAGTTCCATAGAACATATTAATTTAAATATTGGACTCATATCTTCAAACATAAACATATAATTAAAAAATACAAATAATTTCTTCAATTGAAAATAAAATAAAACATAAACATAGGTTACCAGATAATTTTTTATACATTTAAATTTTTTATTAATACTATATAAATAATGTACAAACTAAATTATAAATAAGTTAAATCTATAAGAAAATATGATTGAAAAATACTTTTAATAATATAAATTTTACTTCCTATCAATACTTATAATCGAAATACTATTTTAAATCATTTATTATGCATTAAATATTTTAAATAATATTAATGAATGATATGAAAATTATAAATTTTACACCGTTTAATTATCCTTTTTAGTAACTATAATAATATTTAGTAAATAAATTTATATTATAATGAAATTACTATAATAGAACATAAATTTTAAACATAATTAAATCCTTTGAAATTTAAGGTCTATTTTATTTTTTTAAATATATAAAATTAAAAATGTCCTACTCTTTAAATATTAATACCTTATTTAATTTAAGAAATACTTCAAATTTTATCATTAAATGGATAAAGAAAAAATTTAGATTAAGTAGATATTAAGACAGAATTCTTTCTTAATTCTTCAAATTTTTCTTAATTACTTTGCCTGTTAGATTAATTAATTGCATTTTCCAAGATAAAATGTTATATAGAAAAGTAATAAAGATTACCCATTAATGTAATTTACTGTAGTTCTTATTGAAAACTATAGAAATATAACTAGAAAAATTTATTATTAACTAACTATAATTTATATTATATTATATAATTAAATATAAATTTTTTGGAAAAAAAATATTTTAAGTTTTTTAATTTTAAATAAAATATTAAAATATAATGCTTTTAGTTGTTTATTAATATATATTTATTTCACACTATTTATTTATTTAATAATGAATATCTTGATACATAATGTTCAACTATTTATCATACAATTTAGAATAACTACTTTTATAATTATATTGTACAATATTATTTTATTATATAAACAATAATAATATAGCAATAAAAATTTCTATTTAATTTCAAATAATCGTATGAACCATATTCAAATTCATTTAAATTTTCTATAATACAATTCTTTACATATATGAGAAAAACTGCTATATGTAAGAACTATAATGATATAATATTCTATTAAATATCTCATAAAAAGAATTACCTGTATTATAGTTAAAAAATTATAATAAGAAGAGAGTGGATAAAGCATTATTAAAATTTTTAAATTGTACAATTTTCTTAACAAACATGAAAAATCACTGATCAACCAGGATTTTGAATCTATTGATGACGATCTATTTTCTTGGATGAAGTAATATCTGATAAATTCATCTAATACACCTATGTACATTTATGCATTCAAGGGATTGTATTTCTTTATATAAACATATTACAGATACTGACCAAACTAAAGAATTTTAAAAATTACAAAATTTTAATTATTATATTTCATAATTTTATAAATTTTATAATTTTATAATTTTATAATTATTATAAATTGTCCATTAAAATACTTTATTTCATTATTTATATTAATTTTACTTTAATTTACATTAAATATTTAAAAGTATTAATGTAAAATATTATTTACAATCAGTAATTCCAAAATGATTTTACAGATCAGTTTTTTTTTATTACGGTTTTTATTTTCTGTTTTCAAATTTTTATAAAAGCATATTTTTCTAATTTACAGTTACTTTTATAATTAAAAAAAATTTTCTATTTTATTATATTCAACTTAAAAATTGATTCAAATAAATTCAGTCATCAATTATTAAAACATTAAATAAAAAACAGTAAATGTAATATTTTTCACTTGATAGACATAGCAAATATTTATTAGTCTAAATTAGCATAATTATAAAACTGTGAGTAAAAAACTACAGAGATAATATTTTAATTTATTATTTTTTAAATAATGATTTTAAAACATTATTCCACATATTTGCTTTATAGTGTTAATATAAGAATCTTTATAGTAATAGAAAGATAAATATGCAAGTTAATTTATGAATAGGAAATTCATTTAAAATAAAATATTACATAGAATAGAAAGTAGATAGATGTATTTTCGTAATATTTACATTGGTAACATTTTTAAGTAATCATTTGATTAGTTTATTAGGAGTAAGTGCAGCAACATGATTTCTAGAAAAAATGGATACATGAAAAAAGAATAATAAACTATACATTTTTTTTACAAACTTACAGTTTTTGCTTTTTTTGCATATTGCTATATTCACCAAATGTCACTTTCATTTGAAAGTTCAAAAAGTACACTTATGCTTACTCAAAACTCAAGACAAGGTTTGTATTAAAAAAAAACAACTTTATGATTTTGTTCGATTAATTAACGGTTTTTTTTTATGGCTCGAACTGCCAATTCAATAGTTCAGTGGATTAGTCTCTCGTCATGATGACTCATGAGGAAATAACAAATGTAAGGGTTGAAATTAAGTACAGTATATTATTATTGTGCTAATATATTGTTTATTCTTGTTATCAATTATTATAATATTGCAGTTTTTATTGCTTCAGGTGAGAGAAGGGAAAATATTCTATTGCTGTGGTGAGGTTATTACTTCAGGGTGATGGTGATGTCGTTAATGCTATGGAGATTACTGTGGATCTTGAATGTCGGTTTCGTGCTGATGTCGTAAGGATCAGCACGTGTAGTCGATCATGCTTATTCATTAGCATGAGAAGATGGTGGTTGAAATCAAGTATGCTTGGTAGAAAGAATGATCATTCTCAGTAGAGTGTAAAAAAGTCTTGATGGAAATTGGTACGTAATCAATTATGTCTCTAGTTAGGACGGGAGTAGTTAAAAACTAATCACACGCAAGAATTATAAATGATAAGCCTTCGAACTCTGAAGGACTTGATGAAATTGTATTTATAGTTGATTATTCGATGAACTGTTGTCTGGCCTTGACAATGTAATTGACGTATTGCGTCACTTGTGTCGACTGTTTTAGGGATTGCACGATCTTCGAAGTGTTAGTTTGAGAGAGCGTACTCTATCACCCATCGACTGTTTGAGGGAAGTTTTATGAAACTTGATTTGCGCGTTGGTGACTAGTTTGTTTAAATAATATAAAGAGATGTACCTTGTAAACTACCAACAAGGTATGTTGACTTGCTGCGTGGCTGGCGTGCCCCTATTTCATTACGATTTCAATGGCTTCACTGTTAAATCACTACCTGTTCTTGATGACTCTTTTTAATAATGCACATGTGGTTTTTAGGTTGGCTGTCGAACATGTGGCCACGTGTAGTAGTCGCAGTATATACTAAGGCACACTGAGTAATAATAACAGAAGAGTGAACGCAAGGTAGAATTACAATGAGCGTATAAACCTTTTGAATACGCGCACGAAAACCAAAGGCTTGATCGTTCCGTGGTGGTTCTGCTGAAAATACCGAACGTTCCATGGCGGTCCTGCTGAGGGCAGACAGAGACCCGTGCCATGGCTTCTACTGGTAGAGGGTTAAATCGGTTCACGGCAAGAAGTTTGCAGCAAGCGCAGCGCAGTTGAGTAAGAGAGAGCTTCAGTAAGCGAACGAGGCACGCCGCGTACTTGCCTTATATATTCACGCAGCGACTTACTTAGCTGGCAACAAGGCATCGTCGTCGCTGCACTGGAATATTACACGAGGCGCAGAAAGAAAAATCTAGAAGTTTCGAGAATTCGACGAAAGAAAAAATAAAGCGTAATAACTTTAGACAATTCCGGGCGATGCTATTACCCGAAGACCATATAAACATTGCGGGCCATTTAAAGCCAAAAGATAACAAGTATTCGAAAATTCTCGTCCAAAGTGTTTACAGAAATCCAAGATCTAAAAGGCCGACGATGCCGACAATCAGCGGTCTTGGAACTTGCTTGAATCCCAAACATTACCAATTATCCATATATTATGATAGAGCGTAGTTTGTTTTGCAAAGAATTATTTTAAAATTTTAATTTTCAAAATATTTTTACTTATATATGATTACATCTATTTCATCTGTTCTAATAGACAATATTATGATATATGTCTATACTATTTTTTATAATTCTATTTTAGGTTTCCTCAAAATATTTATTAGCATTAATCGGTGTTGTTTTTAATTTCTTGTAGTTATTTAACTAAATATAAAGTTACATAAAATTTATCCTAGACTTATAAGCAAGATGAAATTTGAAACTTATTTAAAATTTCATATTTAAAAGTTGCTTAAGTTGTTGCTTAAAATTGATAAACTAGTTTTTTTATTTTAATTAATAAAATATGTTAAAAATTATTTAACATAAAATTTAATTTTTTATTCTATAGATAACACAAGAAAAAATGATTTGGGCACTGCAGTTGGACCAAGACTTGAACCATTTAGTCCAGGACAAGTTTATAATGCTAGTAAAGCTCAACAAGTTCATGTATTGCCTGCTGCTCCATTATCTATGGAAACTAATTAAACAATTATTGATATGATGTATTAAAATTCCAATTGTATTATTCACTATAAAAAATCTACACAATATTTCTTATTGATGCAACTTTAATAGAATAAGGCTTATTTATTACTTATTTACTATTCTAAAATTTAAAAGTAATTATATAGTAAATAGAAGTTTAAGATTTATTTTTGTATTTTAAAATAATTTTTTGTTAAATACTATTATATAAAATCTTTAGTAGTATATTTCAATGTTTAACATCTGTAACATTTACCTTTACCAACTTCTATTTAAATGAAATCCAATATCAGCTTAAAACAAATTAGGAGTAATATTATTTAAAACTTATTTACTTTTTAATTAATTGTTTTATATGGTCAGGATTAATTTATGTTTAAGATTTAGTCGACTAATATAATTACGTTTGAATATGCGAAAAAGTTATAATAAAAAAATATTTGATATACTATTTAAAATAAATAATTGGATTATAGGCAACAATAAATTTGTTACTATTTAGATTTGCTATAGTTTACCAATAAATCACTCTGCATATAAGAACAAATAAACCATATATCATATTTCAAATAAAGTAATATATGTATCTTGAGTTTGTAGATATTAACAATTGGTTAAAGTTTTTTTATTGAAATATTTTAATAACTAAGAACACTTTATTATTCTTCTAATTTAATTATAAAATATTATTTTAGAATTACATTTAGATCCAAACAAATAAATTCTCTTTGCTGAAGTATTATGTAGTGCATAATTCTAATAATTATTATTTCGTTTGTATCATATTTTACAAACATTCTAATCATTCGTTTGTTTCCTTCTTTATTTAAAATATGAATAATAATTTATAGTAGAATATAAAGACTGTAATAATTAAATTTCTAATTAATAATCTTGTTCAAAAGTTGATAATTAACTTTTAAATTTAACTATCTTAAATTAACATAACATTAACGGAAGAAATTTTTTATATGGTAAACAATGTTATCTTGCTAACAGAATGAAAAATCACTTGGGTATAAAAAACGCTTTTAGATCAAATTTTCAATAGCAATGATTCCCTTTATAACTGGTACAATATTGATGCAAAACATTGCTATAGCGTACATAAACAAATACGCTAAATATTCTTGCATTCTTTCGTTTTTTGTATTTTTCAAAGTTCTTTTTCTATTAATAGTATCCTCTATTACTAACCGTTTCAATTTAAAATAAACTGTAATTATATTAAAATTTAATTATATTATGTGTAAAAATATTTCAAAATCCGATTTAAGATAAAATATTTTATAAATCATATATTTGAAAAAAAAACTGATTTTGTTGTTATATAATTGCATACAGTTTCATAAATTAGAACATTACTTAAAAACTTATACTGTTATTGCAAAGACTATCTATAAACAAATAATTTTAGTAGAGTTTCATTATAAATTTCTTCATTGATTAACAATTATAAAAGATATATCCCGAAGCAGTATTTTTCTTTATTGATTTTTGTTACAGGTAACCGCATATGCTGTACACTGTTACTAATGAGCATATTTATTCGAAGTTATAAAATAAAATTTATATAGTATTTTATTGATACGAAGAACAAATACAGTTTAGTGTCAATTTTTGCTTATATTCGTTAGGTTTCTTTGGAACAAATAAAATGGTTATAATATAACTCAATGGAATATATTTTTAAACTTTAAAAAATACAAAGGTTAAACATATTCTTATAAGTTAAAATGTCTTCTTTTACATAAAAATATTTTTTGTATACAATGTTAATTTCATATACTTCATTTTGTGATTATGTGTAAGTAACTTTTGTAAATAATTAAATAATTGTAAATAGCAATTTTGTGAATATAATTTTGTGAATAAGCAAATTGTAAATATAATTGTTCAGCCAAACGATATTAAATGATTTTTTATTTTTTAACAATTCAATAAATATTTTTTTCATAAATGAGACGAATGTCATCATTTAAAATTAATTTAAATAAAATAAACCAAAATTTTAATTTTTAAGTATATTTAATATTAATATTTTAATATAATTTCTTATTTATTAAGTTTTTAAAGTATTAATGATATTTTTAATGAATGAAGAATTTTAAATCCACGTTATAAATTAATTACATTTCATTAATTATATATAATATTGTATTTAATTATAATTTAATTAAGTTTATTATAAAATTTATTTATTAAATTGTTCACCCCACCCCACCACCACATAAATATGTAATGACAAATATTTAAATGCAGATGTACAACCAGATAAATTAATTTTTCAAATGAATTTATTACTTTTTTTTCAGTAAATCATTTGTAAATTCAACATGTACTATTTATATTTACTATAAATTTACAATGGACATATAATATTTACGATAGTTACTTACCTATACTTTATTTTAATTATTACAATTATATTATTAATTTAGCTTCAATTACCATTGAATTAAAAAAACAATTAATTACGTAGAAACCAATAGTTCATTTTTTTACTATACGATTATTATTAAAGTTATATTATATTATATTGAATTGCAACTAATTAGTTTTCAGAGTACTGTAACTTAAAAATTTGATATACTTATTACTTTATATAAAGATAGTACTTTTATTCGTATCTTTATTTTTTTATGCACGTTTCATTTAAATCCCATTATTATAATTAAAGCTCTCTTTAAAGAAATTAAAGTCATGTAAATAGATATTATATTGCTTGTTTCCTACATTTGCAGTGTGAAATCTTCCGAATAATATTCTATAAACAAAAAATCCTATAAAAATTTGTATGTAAAAAAAATGTTTCGAATTATTTATGTAATTTGATGTAATGAGCTCTTTTTGGTTGTTATAATTAAAAAGAAATAAAAATTAAAATCATATTGGTATTACATGATACTTTAGTTTCTATATTTCAATCCTACTTTTATATAATTAAAATTTATATTGTATGAAATTAAATGTCAAATACAATATACAGTCTTGATGAAATTAAACTACTCTGGATTTGTTACCAATTCAAAATTTAAATTGTGTTTTAATTAATTTTATTATCTATTAAATTTTGAATTTTTTACTTTAAAACAATATTACATCTGAATTTATGTGCATGTTCATATACGCGTAGTGGAGATACGCACATATGCAACGATAACTTTTTTCAGACAAATTTTAAATATATTCTTTGAATTCAAAGTAATTCGATAAAATTTAACAATTGCAATGATGTGCTCTATGTGAAATGTATTTAAGTGCATGTATATAAAATAAATGTGAAATGGATTTATGTTCAATGTGTTAACAGGTATACGGGAATATAACTGTATCGCCTATATTTAGCATTTTTATTATTTGAAGTAATTAGTATAGTGTTATTGGACTTAAATGCTATGTTTATGATTTAATTTAATTTAGTTGTTTTTATTTCCATAAACCATATCTCATATTTTTATAAAAACATAACCTAAAATGTAAAAATAAAGTTGCATAAATTTTTGCATAAAGGAAAAAGTAATTGATAAAAAAAATAAATTACAAAATACAATCGTGACATGTTCGAGTACAAAGATGAATTACAATGCAATGCTACCAACAATTACAATCGATGAACCAACTAAAATAACATTTAACAATATCTCCATGGACTGCATGCCCATCGTTACATGTAAATATTTTCTGACATTCATGAACATTATATCGTTGCTAAAAATATCTGTAGTATTTTTTGCATAATGTCCTTATTTTTATTTCTGTTCTGTCTCTTCTCCCCCTCTCGTTTGTATTTGTATTGTAAGCTATACTTTTATATATTTATTATTTTAATAATGTAAACATCAAATTAATTTAATTTACTTTAGATGCTGGAGATAAAGAATTATTTAAAACTTTGAAAAATAACTTAATGAAATCTGTGCCTATTGATTCTGTTGAATGGAGAAGATCATATGACAGACCTATTAAGTTAGTGAAACTTGGTGCAACATTTGTTCCATTTTTTCAAAATGTTTTACCATCAGAAAAAGATTGCCATCTTATCAAAAGACCTATATTTCATACATACTGGAGTGAATGTACAGTAAGTAAATTGTTTTTAACAATAATTTGATTGATTACTTAATACTTAATATTTGTTACAGGATGTTGATATATATAAGTCATCTCTTAGAGATGATATAGATTCTTGGTTAAAGACATTAACAGCAGCTAGAATACAAGATTGGATGATAGTTTTAGTAGAAACTTATGATATCAAAAAGAGCAACAAGTTATTACCAAGAACAACTGTATTAGATAAAATTCGTAATGATTTTGCATCTAAACATGGTGATAGGTAAGATTAATTTTGTTTATTTACAGTTATGTAACTGTATTATATTTAATATTATACTCAATAGATGCCTATCTATAATTAATCCAATTAAATCTGCATCTCGCTCAACTGAGTCATGGAGGGGTTTAATAGGACGCATTCGACATTTAATGTTAACAGCTTATGATAGAACATTATTGAAGTTTGAAATAATAATCAGAGAACATAGAGAAAACAGAAATCAAACAGGCTGGAATTTTTGTTATTATTTTTTATTGCAGGTACTATTTCTTACCATAAAATAAAATATTTTTATTAAAATAATGTTAGAAAAATGAAACATTATATTTTATTTAAAAAAGGTATCAGTACAATTTAAAAATAATAATTTATAAACAATTAATATTTTAGGAAGAGCTAGCATTCATTTTAGAAATGTTAGGCTTATATGATGAAGCTTTAGTGCAATATGATGAACTCGATGCTCTTTTTACACAATTTGTATTAAATACAAATGTAGGAGGTAAGATGCATAGTTATTTTTAATGAATTTAATAAAAATTGTAAGAGCTGCTATGGTTTGACATTTTTATCAACATCAATAGATACTCCAATGTGGCTGAGTTCATTCCAAAATCCTTTGAATAATTGGACAGGTATTAATCTCAATAATAGTATAGATTATCGTATAAGAATTTTGATAGCTGACTGCAAAGCTTCGCTACTGGATCTTAGAAGCTACTTATTTAGCAGACAATGTGCTATGTTACTTTCACTAAAAAAACCTTGGGAAGTTAGTAGTTTTCTTTTAAATTATAAAAATAATATACAATTAAAAGATTTTAATTTAAATAGACATTAATCAAGTTATAATACAAATACAAATCAACATAAAACTTAATAAAAATGCAAAGAGTTGAAGTGTCCATTTTTATATAATATTTAAAAAAATATTACTTTTATAAGTTATTTTCAGAAATTTTTACATTTTTAAATTAAAACAAATTTTTTGTTTTTTTATTTAAATATTGATTAATTTTTGCTTATTATTTAAAACTATTAGTTCAATATCATACTTTGCATGTTCAAATTACTTTTAATATTTATATCATTTGTTTTCTTTCATTAGTTTTAAATGAAATATATGTTTTAATTTGATACAGGTTGCTCAGCGGTGTTTAACTTTTGTTCATGATACTATAAATGAACTTAGAATTCTGGAAATCCAGCGACCTGAGGGATCAGTAGAATGTTGGGCTTTTCTTTGTGCATTAGAAGTTTTGCATTCGTGCCAAACATCAATCTCAAGTATAGATAACAATCAATTATTAGATTTGTGTTCTTTACATACAGCAAGCTTATGGGCACTCGCAAGAGATAAGGTAAATGATAATTTTGATAATAACATTTTTCCGTTTGTAATTACTATAAAAGTAATGAAATAAATTTTTATAAATATTGATAGATTATTTTTAAGAATGTATATTTAATTTATAGTATTAACTTTGTATCTAAATTATCAATGCTATAATTTATAATTTATATTTAAATTTTCATCAATTAATCATTATGATATGTAACTGTTAAATCTTGTATTTATAGTTGGAAAGCCTTGGTAAACTTTGTGGCTTGATGCCAGGAAATGATCCCACAAGTGAACAACTTCATACAGTTGTGTATTTAATTGCTGGCATGGGTGACTCAGAACTAATAACACATAACTCAAATAACCCAACACCTACTGATAAATTAAAAGAAGCTCTTTCATCCAAGGAAGCTTTTAGAAAGCAATATTTATATCATACAGAATTAGGTAAATTTGAAGCATTTTTTTGAACATTTGCTTTTTATTAAATTCAACGTTGATTGTATATTATACAATATGTAAAAATATAAAAAAATTTTAATTAACTGAGTAATATAAAATGATTATAAGATTAAAGAACAAAATTTATAATTTGTAGTTACCTCACAGCAACTTATTTTTCAGATAGAATGTATATATATATATATATATATATATATATATATATATATAATATAACATTGAAAATAAATCCTTTCGGTATAAATTAATGAAAATAGTGTACCTTGTACAAATGTGTTTAATTAATTTTTTATGTGTTTTAATAATTGTTTTTTAAAACAATTTTCTAAAATATAATTGTAATTAAAAAATTCTCTATAAATTTTAGTATATACTCTTAATTAATTAGTTTTCTTATTTTCAAATGATATGAATTTATATTCAATATTTATTTTACTGTGTTAGGAATAGGAAGATAATACTTTCTTCTTCATGATTTTTTTATAGCAATGGGTACATACAAGCATGTTGGCCGAATAAGATCTGCTCGATTTATTGGCAGAGAACTTGCACACTTTTACAGCGAGCTCAATGAGAATCAAAAAGCAGTAGTCTTCCTGCTAGACGCACTCCAAACATATACAGCTGAAGGCTGGTATCATCTTGCAGCCCAGACTCAACATGAGCTAGCTCAATGTTACAAAAAAATGGATGACGTAGAACATTACACCAAAGTTTGTGCAGCAATAGCTAGTACTGAGATCCTTCACATTATAATAAGAAACTCTTACCTTGATGAAATGCTCAGTTATGCAAAGATGTTAGAGAAATCTGAGCCACTTTTTACAGAAATGTCCAATATTTTTATTGTACAAAAGATGGAAGTTAATGTTATGGATAAAGTGATCCAAGATTGTGAAGTAAAAGTTGAAGTAGAACTTAAAAGTTTATTACCAAGACAAATTAAATGTACAAAAGCAGAGCTATCAGTTGAAGAAATACCAAAACTTAACACAAAAAAGAAAATTGTTAAAAGTGCTGAAGCAAAACCAGAAATGTGAGTTATTACCTCTCTCTCTCACTCTTTCTGTTTCTCTTTCTTTCTCTCTACCACCCAATAGAGAAATAGTCTTTTCTATAGAATTATAAAGAATTAGAAAAAAATTTATCAAATCAATATTAATATAACAATAAATTCTTTTCATACATTCATTTCAATTTTATAACTGCTTTGTCATATCTTTTTATTAAAAAAAGCAAATTCAATTAAGCCATTTTAATTTTCAACACCTCATTAAGTGAGAACACGTATTTAATAATACACCTGTATTATATACTGTTTCGAACACGAATTATTGATTGAAATTAGGTAATCCATATTTCCTTATCCTTATTTATAAATAAATAATATTGTAAATAAGATTTTTACTATTAGTTAATATTGTAAAAAAAAATTTTTAATGTTATTTTTACAGTAACATAGATTGAATTAATATTTCATAATCCTATTTTTATAAAAGAAAGTATAAAAGTATTTATGTAAAACTTCTTTTTATAATGTAAATTAAAATTTTATATAATCTATGGGTTTATATTTTATTGTTTGGTTAATGTAATAATAAACCATTAAATGTAGTACTTTTCAATTAATTTTAATGTACTTTAGAATGCACAAAAAGGAAATAATGAATTTTTAAATGATTTTTTTTTTTAGATTACTGAAATGCCGAATAAATGATAAAATACCAAGTGATCCTTGCTTACTGCAGTTGTCCGCGTCAACGAAATTAACTTTAAAAGAGGATAAAAGCCTTGGTTCGGCAAATGTACATATCAGTAAAAGTTTAAAAAATCCTCTAAAACGCTCCGACAGTGTAAAACATCGAAAGCCCATGAATGTGAAAGGTGATTTCACTGAAGCTCTTATTACGTCCACTGAATTTATTCTTCTACCAGGTATCAATAAATTTACTCTAATCAAGCAAATTAATCATCCAGGATTCTATCGAGTTGGTCAATTGTCTCTTCTTGTAGAGAAAAAATTAGAATTTTTGTCACCATTGCTTGAGCCTCAATTGTGTTTCATGGTAAGAACTAACTACTTTTTATATCTAATTTTAATTAATATTATAAGTTTAGAATAAAATAAACGAATTTAATTATTATACATGATAGAAAAATTGAACTAAATGGTTGTTACAATATACGACTCAAATTTTTTCTAGATTATTTATTAAAAAACTGTTTTGACTGAACTTACATCTTAAAATATCTAACAAAATTTATAATTAATAATAATTGATAAATTTTTATTTAACAATTAATTGATTACATAATACGTATGTATTTATTTATATATATATATATATATATATATATATATACTTATGGATTAATTAACAAGTCTTAAGCTTTTAATAAATTTGTATTAATATTGTGTTTATTAGGTAGCTAAAACACAACCAACAATTTCTCTAAAATGTAAGAATGATTTGCTTGCTGGATTGATACAAACCATAGAATTAGTTATATCGAGTGGCAGTGTAAAAATAAGTAGAGATTCAAAACTTAAATTAAGAACTTCTCGTGGATTTGTATGTAAAGTAAATAAAAACAAAGAAAGACAAACTGATGCTTTGACAAGAGAAATGGAGTTAATACTGCCCATATGTGAGCCATTCAAAATAATAAGTTTAAAATTGATGGTATTAGCAGAGCTACCACCAAAAAAAGATTCATCCTCTTTGGAGCACAAGGTCAATTGATTAATAAAAAAATTATAAAATGATTTTTTTCATTTTATATAAACTTTTAAATTTCAAAAATATAAAAGATAATGGGTTTTAATGCAATTTCATAGATTTATTATTAGAAATAATAAAAAATTACGATAAATTTTTTTTTATAGGTTCATTTGATTTTTGTTATTATTTATTCTGAAATTTTTATTCCATGTATATTCTTATTAAATGGTATTAGATTATACTACATTTTCAATTTCACATAATTATGTACTATTGGGATATTAAAAATATTTTTAGTCTATAATTTCATTAACATTAACATAAAATTTTTATCATTAAGAAAAGCTTTAAAAATTGAAAAAATAATTAAAAATTATTTTGTATAGTTAAATATTCAGTGTCCTTGGGGTTCTGAGGAAAGTATAACCCTTCACTTTGGAACGCCACTTATGTCAACGATGAAGCTTCACACGGCGAAGCGTCGTAAGTTCTTGCAGGTGATAGTTACGGGTTTGTCAAATCAGTTATTGCAGTTAACGGAACCACAATTGACGAGCAGCACTTCCGTTGATCTCCACTTCAAGAGTTTGAATCCAAATGCAGGTCAAAAACTCGTTATTGGGAATAATATGTGGGTATCATTTATGTGGGAAGTTCAGATTAGCAATGATGATGACAGGTCCACGATCCCTATTAAAACGGAATTTCGAGTTAAATATATCGCAATTAAAAATATCGAAGACATCGGTGAAATTGACGATGTTAGGGTATGAAACTGATAATGGTATTTCATTTATAAATTTAATTATGTTAGTTGCTTGTTCTTTATTTAATTCTTAATAAAAAAACTTTTTCAGTAAAATTTTTTAATTAAAAAAAATAATAATAATTTAATTTAAATTTTTTAAATTTTTTAACTATTTTAGTAATTTAAAAAATATAATTTTTTAACAGGATCACCATATTTTAGATGATCCACTACATATTCGAGATATGGAAAAGGTTGAAAAAGAAAGTAATATTTATTGGTGCAATTTCGATATTACAGATTATTCAGTAAGTATTTCATTATTACTCATTGTTCTTTTCCTATCAAAAAATATTATACTCGAATAATTTGTATGTAAACCTTGCTAGAATGTTTTTGTGCAATTTAAATAATTTAAAAATTTATTATTATCTTAGTTATTTCAATTATTTAACAATTTATTTTTATAATACAATTAAATTTAAAAAAATTACTTGAAAATGTATTGAAATAAATAACAGAATTTTCAATATCATTACAAAGTAAATTTGCAAAATATTAAATCAATTTTATTTTATTTACCAGTTCCCTTATATGTATTTCATTTAATAACAATATCAAAATATGAAAAAGTAGAATTCAAAAAGACAATAAAAAATATTAAATCCTGTCCTTTTAGACCTTGTTCACAGTAGCATCAAAGGTCGAGCCAATTATTGGAAACGGCAGTGTTGGCAGTGGTGGTGAATTTTGTCGTTCAGGAAGCATGTGTCATCTTTGCTTAACGGTCACACGCATGCATAACCATAATCAACATTTCAATCAGAACAGCGCTAGCAATCACCACCATCACCCACCACCACAACTCATGTATGAAGTGCTTGCAGACCAAACAATGTGGGCTGTGTGTGGTAGGACTGCTGGCATAGTGTCTCTTGAAGTAGTCGAGAAGCAAAGTGTCACATTAGACGTGATGCCACTCACCAGTGGATACCTGCCCCTGCCGGTAGTTAGGCTTTCACGATACATACCTGCAGTCGCCGAAATAAAAAATGGTAATTATAATAAGCACCTACAATTAGCATTACAATTAATACATATGAAAAGTTAAACGAATTAAATAAGAAGCTGTATTAAATATAAAAATAATTGTGCCATGCAAACATGTACACTTGTGTATATTAATTCAGAAATGTTGTTATTTTTCACCGTTTTGTTTTTAAAGTTAATTTTATCATTATTACTATTGACTGGTATTATATAAATATACTTACCTGTTCGATTATTAACGGTTTTTTTTATGGCTCGAACTGCCAATTCAATAGTTCAGTGGATTAGTCTCTCGTCATGATGACTCATGAGGAAATAACAAATGTAAGGGTTGAAATTAAGTACAGTATATTATTATTGTGCTAATATATTGTTTATTCTTGTTATCAATTATTATAATATTGCAGTTTTTATTGCTTCAGGTGAGAGAAGGGAAAATATTCTATTGCTGTGGTGAGGTTATTACTTCAGGGTGATGGTGATGTCGTTAATGCTATGGAGATTACTGTGGATCTTGAATGTCGGTTTCGTGCTGATGTCGTAAGGATCAGCACGTGTAGTCGATCATGCTTATTCATTAGCATGAGAAGATGGTGGTTGAAATCAAGTATGCTTGGTAGAAAGAATGATCATTCTCAGTAGAGTGTAAAAAAGTCTTGATGGAAATTGGTACGTAATCAATTATGTCTCTAGTTAGGACGGGAGTAGTTAAAAACTAATCACACGCAAGAATTATAAATGATAAGCCTTCGAACTCTGAAGGACTTGATGAAATTGTATTTATAGTTGATTATTCGATGAACTGTTGTCTGGCCTTGACAATGTAATTGACGTATTGCGTCACTTGTGTCGACTGTTTTAGGGATTGCACGATCTTCGAAGTGTTAGTTTGAGAGAGCGTACTCTATCACCCATCGACTGTTTGAGGGAAGTTTTATGAAACTTGATTTGCGCGTTGGTGACTAGTTTGTTTAAATAATATAAAGAGATGTACCTTGTAAACTACCAACAAGGTATGTTGACTTGCTGCGTGGCTGGCGTGCCCCTATTTCATTACGATTTCAATGGCTTCACTGTTAAATCACTACCTGTTCTTGATGACTCTTTTTAATAATGCACATGTGGTTTTTAGGTTGGCTGTCGAACATGTGGCCACGTGTAGTAGTCGCAGTATATACTAAGGCACACTGAGTAATAATAACAGAAGAGTGAACGCAAGGTAGAATTACAATGAGCGTATAAACCTTTTGAATACGCGCACGAAAACCAAAGGCTTGATCGTTCCGTGGTGGTTCTGCTGAAAATACCGAACGTTCCATGGCGGTCCTGCTGAGGGCAGACAGAGACCCGTGCCATGGCTTCTACTGGTAGAGGGTTAAATCGGTTCACGGCAAGAAGTTTGCAGCAAGCGCAGCGCAGTTGAGTAAGAGAGAGCTTCAGTAAGCGAACGAGGCACGCCGCGTACTTGCCTTATATATTCACGCAGCGACTTACTTAGCTGGCAACAAGGCATCGTCGTCGCTGCACTGGAATATTACACGAGGCGCAGAAAGAAAAATCTAGAAGTTTCGAGAATTCGACGAAAGAAAAAATAAAGCGTAATAACTTTAGACAATTCCGGGCGATGCTATTACCCGAAGACCATATAAACATTGCGGGCCATTTAAAGCCAAAAGATAACAAGTATTCGAAAATTCTCGTCCAAAGTGTTTACAGAAATCCAAGATCTAAAAGGCCGACGATGCCGACAATCAGCGGTCTTGGAACTTGCTTGAATCCCAAACATTACCAATTATCCATATATTATGATAGAGCGTAGTTTGTTTTGCAAAGAATTATTTTAAAATTTTAATTTTCAAAATATTTTTACTTATATATGATTACATCTATTTCATCTGTTCTAATAGACAATATTATGATATATGTCTATACTATTTTTTATAATTCTATTTTAGGTTTCCTCAAAATATTTATTAGCATTAATCGGTGTTGTTTTTAATTTCTTGTAGTTATTTAACTAAATATAAAGTTACATAAAATTTATCCTAGACTTATAAGCAAGATGAAATTTGAAACTTATTTAAAATTTCATATTTAAAAGTTGCTTAAGTTGTTGCTTAAAATTGATAAACTAGTTTTTTTATTTTAATTAATAAAATATGTTAAAAATTATTTAACATAAAATTTAATTTTTTATTCTATAGATAACACAAGAAAAAATGATTTGGGCACTGCAGTTGGACCAAGACTTGAACCATTTAGTCCAGGACAAGTTTATAATGCTAGTAAAGCTCAACAAGTTCATGTATTGCCTGCTGCTCCATTATCTATGGAAACTAATTAAACAATTATTGATATGATGTATTAAAATTCCAATTGTATTATTCACTATAAAAAATCTACACAATATTTCTTATTGATGCAACTTTAATAGAATAAGGCTTATTTATTACTTATTTACTATTCTAAAATTTAAAAGTAATTATATAGTAAATAGAAGTTTAAGATTTATTTTTGTATTTTAAAATAATTTTTTGTTAAATACTATTATATAAAATCTTTAGTAGTATATTTCAATGTTTAACATCTGTAACATTTACCTTTACCAACTTCTATTTAAATGAAATCCAATATCAGCTTAAAACAAATTAGGAGTAATATTATTTAAAACTTATTTACTTTTTAATTAATTGTTTTATATGGTCAGGATTAATTTATGTTTAAGATTTAGTCGACTAATATAATTACGTTTGAATATGCGAAAAAGTTATAATAAAAAAATATTTGATATACTATTTAAAATAAATAATTGGATTATAGGCAACAATAAATTTGTTACTATTTAGATTTGCTATAGTTTACCAATAAATCACTCTGCATATAAGAACAAATAAACCATATATCATATTTCAAATAAAGTAATATATGTATCTTGAGTTTGTAGATATTAACAATTGGTTAAAGTTTTTTTATTGAAATATTTTAATAACTAAGAATGTCTATAAAATTAAATAGGAAATGTTATTTCTTACGGATTCACTGTTATATTTTTAAATATAAGATGGCTAATGTAAATCTTATTATCACGAAGCAATAATCTGAGATATTATTTTTTATCATTAAATAAAACCTGTGAAGCTTAATATATATAATGCATATAATATTCAATACAAATATTATTTTGTAATTAATAAAATTACAATTATTTCTGATGATTTTAATATAAATATAAATTACTATAATGAAGTGTTAAAGATTAATTGATGAATAAAACTTGATATGTAATATTTTAAAAATACGAAAATTAATTAAAATTTTATTACTAGATAAAAAATTACAATTATATTAATTTATAAAAATTTTAAAAATTATTTCAACAAGACGTTCTGATTTACTCAAATATATTTTTTCTTACTATTTGCACTTTATTTTGGCAAGTACAAATACAAATATTTTTTTTAATAGTTAAGTTGGTTAAGGTGATATGTACTGTTATAAAAAATTAAAATAATTTTGTATGAGTATGTAAATATGTAGATGAGATAATACAATGAATGTAAATTATTATTCAAAACAACCGTAATTTGTTTTACACTATCATCTTAATTATTAGATTATATTAAACATTGAAAATGGTTAGAAAATGTTTGAATTAAATGCGTAACAGTTATAAATAGATATATACACTTAAATTATATTAAATTTGTATTATTCTAATTTAATATTCTTCATAAAATAATTACTGTTTAATTATTAAAACTACACATTAGCCTTAGATGTATTTCAAATATATTTAGAACATTTAAAAATTTATTATTTAAATAAAAATGTAGAATTTAAACATATTTTCATAATTCAATATAAAAAGTTTGCATGAACGTTTGCCAATTAATTATAAATTCAATGAAAACATGTTTTTGTTCATAATTCAATTTAGATTCATTAGTTCATTTTATTTAATATTTAAAATAAAATATTGATTTAATTAGGCTTTGATATAAGTTTTTTAATATATCGGTAGCAGTTGTTGTGTAAGTAATAAACCAAATCTTCTTTTTAATGTTATACGCTCTCTAGAGTACTTGTCCTCTGGTGAAAAACGAGCTGCAAAAATACAATTTTTGTAAATCAAAATTAATTTATTGAATAAATAAATTTTTATTGTATCATTCACCTGGATGTGCTGAAAGTGTTGGTTTTCCATATGGATCCATTTTCTATATAAAAAATATTTATATATTGATTCTACATAAATTACTTTAATGCAAATTTCATTTTAATTCTTCAAAAAATTCAATAATATAATTTGTATTATGCAAACATAATTTTATCATAAACTTAGTGTATAAGAAAAGGTATATAAAAAAGCGCATTATAAAAACATAGAAATAAATAATATTAGGTAAAACTTTATATAACCGAATTAGATAATTATTATTAATCAATTTTATTTATTATATTCTATTATACGATACGCTTTATTTCATTGATTTAAAAAGTTTAATCATACTTTTACAAATGAATATAAACAATTAATAAGATTACCTTTAATGTATAAATTCTATTACCATTAGTATCTAAATAATACATAAGATACATGACTGATGATTGTTAAAAATTTTAATTACAAAACTTTTTTTGAACAAAATAATTCAGCATGCAATGCTAACCTATAAACACTATTCAAATACGTGAAGATTAAACATTGATGTAACCTTTTGATTGGAAAATGCAGATCCCGAAATTTGACGACGAATGGTTATTTTTTTTTTTTCAATTTACATTCATAGATGTAATAAAGAGAGATTAAAATCATATGATTTTACAAGTATTGATATAGATTATTTATTGTTTTATTAAGTAGTATTTCTTTCATAACATAACAATTACAAATGAACTATGTAAAATAACACTCAAAAAGATTAAATGAAGACTAAAATAAGTATTATAAAAATAATTATACTATTTTGTAGTATTAAAATTATAATAAAAGATTCGCTCAAACTTTAGTACATGTTTTATCTGTTATCAATATTGAATAAATAAATTTAATGTTTTTATCATAAAAGGAGCAGAAAATGCATGCTTATTTGAATGTAATATTTGCAAAAACATATTGATTTGTAATATATAGCAGAAAAATAAATGTGTTAGTAAGCATTTTAATATTCATAAAAGTTCTTGTAAAATAAGCAGTTATTTGTGCTTTAATACAAACCAATAATTAATGTATCACTTTTCACTCATTATACAAGTCGGAAATTTATAATATTCTTAAAATTTTTAATTATGAAATTTTTAAATTCTATTAACATCTTATTTGATCACCGTAAATAAAAGTTCGTTATATTTTGTATATACGTATAGAGGAAGCATTTATTTTTAAATGACTAATGAAAGCTATTTAAATTTCTATGTAAGATTAAATTAAAAAAAAAAAAGAATTATTCGAATTTTTTAGTTGATTCCTTAATAAATTTATCAAACGTATTATTTTTGCATATTTTTATTTGAATTGTTAATTCTTTCATACATTCATAAAATTAATTTTAAGTAACGTGACACAATTGTATATTGTAAACACAATATAATGACATTTAATTGAAGAAAAAATATTTCTTTTTTATAATTAAAATTACAAACAATATAACTGCATGTTACAATTTTATTCGTATATTTAACTGAGAAAATATAAAATTTTTTTTATCTATAATTGAATTTAGTTTTATGAATATTATAAAACAAATTATATCAGAAATAATAATATGTTATAATTGTAAAATAATTTTTAAGGCATGAGTTAAACCTAATAGGTTAATAGATTCCAATGAAATTTGAGAATCTACTTACATATTTTCTTATTTTAAAATGAAATACTTTACAGCAAAATTAGCATTATATTATATATTATCATATAATAAAGAATTTGGTAAATTAAATATTCATATCTATGAAATTAAATTATTCTTTAATTTGATTTATGTTAATAAATAGAAAAAATTTTCAATGTATGCTAATTTTGGTAAATCTTTATATGCAAAATATATTATATGTTAAATAAGTTTAAATGAACTGAAAATGAGAACTTGCAGTGAAAATGTATGTAACAAACAATAATTAACAATTATTTTTGTGAATCCAAATACCACAATCCATAAAATATAAAATTTCTTCCTATGTATTAATAATTAATTTTTGAGTTGAGATTCATAAATCATTTACTAGCTTTTGTCTAAATTAAAGAATTCAACGATAATAATTATGGTTTAAAATGTAATATTTATACATTTTAAAATGATTAAAATAAGTATTAAAAAGAAATTTTTAACTAGTTAAATTTTGAATTTTTATTAAAGTTCACAAATTTATCAATCTTTACTATCTTTATATATTTATAATTACATAAAATTAAAAATACTTTTTTTTGTTTTACTACGATAAGTATAAAGAGGTCTTACACCGGGCATAGTGGTAAACTCTTACACACTTCTGATCCTCTATTCACCTGTGCCTACTTGGGACTTACACGGTCCTTCGCCTTTTTCTTGCTTTCTTCTTTTCACAGCTTCCTCCTGATAAATTGATCAGGATTCATACATATCTTTTATCTTATGGAACCATTCATATACGCTTGTATGCTTGTTCTGGCTAAAATAAAATGTTTGAGGCCTTCTGTATATTATAGATTATCGTAAATTCAACGTTAATCCTTATTTTATTCTTTTTTGTTAATCTACGTCTACTTGCTATTACAGTAGGTAAATTAATATCAATATATATAGTGATTCTTTGTACATGTGAACAAATACGTAATATATAAATAGTGATATTTTACTTAATTATTTCATTTAATTAACGTTTATATTATTTTTAAACTGAAAATTATAAAAATATGAATACATTCTACACATTTTGCTTATAATATATTCGAATGTACCAATACATCTTTTTAATTGGCGATTTAAGTATTTACACATATTTAAATACTAATAATATTTAAAAAATTTAATATTAACATTTTAAATGTACTACTTTTAATATAATAAAATGAGGTGATCAATTAATTGCATAATTTTAATTGTAACAATTACAAATTTTGTTAAATTGATCAGTAATATAAACATACATGGAGAATTTAGAATAAACCATAAATAATGTATGATATATTTCGTATGTTATTGATATTGAACTCAGATTTTTAATATGGATTTATATTAATATTTTAATAGAATTTTTGTCATTATCCTAGAAATTTCCTTTTACATAAATAAATGTAATTTCAATTACTTATAGCATGCTATAATTAAAAGAAATTTTATTATCATACCTTTTGACAATTCATTTGACACAAACATTGATAGTCATAAAAGCAGTGGTTACGTAATAACACGTTTTCCTTTGT